TAGATATGTTGCATGTTAAAGGGTGGATCCAAAAGCAAATCATGGCATCAACACTGACAACAGTGGGAGTTTAGTAACATTTATAACAATCCCAACTGAGCTTTGTTTGAAGAGAAGTGAATTCAAACTGGTCATAATTGGAACCTGAAAAGCACTGAAATACGCAATACTCCAACCAATAAGACTGAGAGGCAGAAGTTATAGGTCAGATAACGTAACGGTATATGATCATGCAATTTGGATTCGTGGATATAAGATATTAATGAATACCAAAGACACAATAAGGACAGAATTGTGAGTAAAGAACAAGGTTTAGTTCTCGATTGGAAGCCTGGAATGGGACTATTCCAGAATTTATAGAGGGCTGCCAGACAAAAGCAATGTAACCACTACATAAGGCGACACACTCTGTTTTAGCCTGGTTAGATATTTCTTCTCCGAGCAGCTTTCAGAACCAGCAGATCTGATGGATTTCAAGGGGGCGATTTCCTTGTTCCGGATGCTCCGGAGCATTCGTCCGGAAGTCGTCCCAAGGCTTCATGAAAAATCAAGCGAGTTTCATTTCCTCTTTGAATTTTTCCATTCTCCTATCAGCACCATTTTTACGCTCTCGACATCTCCATTTGGGTACTTTTTTTAAAGCTGAAAAATGTCGTAATACGCCGAACCCCTGTTACCAAATCGATCGAACTTGATTTTTCCAGTCAGTCCGTCAAAATTTACTCTGCCAAGAAGCTTCTGCACCTCAAAACTATTGGCTATCTGCAATTTCGCCCGATCTTTGGTCTCGTTATTGCTAAAAGTTTCGATTGAAAATATCTACCGCATGTGCCACGGCATATACGGCGTCGATGATGTACGGAACATGAGAGCTGTAGCTTTTCTGTAATCAAGTCTTTAGAGCACTGCTCAATTTATGATGAACACACTTCTTGCTCCTCAAAAAGCTTCCACATTTCGTTTGTACTGTCGTTCCATGCAGAAAAACTTCTATTGTCTCTCTCTCTGACCAATATATCTTTTAAATATTCCTTGAAGCCAAAGTCGCTGAATTCATGGAATAGAAATCCCAAAGAGCTCTCGAGAATACCTTCTATTACATATGTGGAAGTTAGGAGGAGCACTGCTGAAAATCCACACACGTCCAGTTAGGTTTTGCTTCGAACCTCTACTAAAAACTTCGTTTGATAATTTTTGTATAACCATAAGATCCACAACTTTGACATTGTCCATCTGTTTAAGCTTTCTTAACTATGTTCGAAATACTCAATTCAGACTTTCGTGGCGTACAAACTGCGTCAAGGCAATGCAGAACGAGCTTTTTTCTTGACGTACTTTCGCTAACTACTGCCCATGCTCCATTTCGTCCATACGAATCATCTAGTGCAACGACAGCAACATGACTCAATTGAAGTGTGTAACCAAGTCAACCATCGCTTTTGCAAGAAAAAGTGTCGAAGGCACTGTTCGAAATAAATGGTCATAGGTAAGTGAGCTAAGTTCAGCACTAGTAGCTAATCCACTTATGCTCTCGAAACATTGAGCATCCGTAGAAACCAGCAATGAATAGCGCTGTGCTAGATTCCTTTGGGCCTATTAAAGAAACGATGGCTTTCTTTCTTGTGGCATTTTGGCTTAAATTGACACAAGAATTAACAGTTAAAAGTTTGTAAACAAGTCCTGCAGCTTTTGAGAGGTTTCCACAGTAATCCCTTATGTCATATCCTAGGGAAATATTCGAAAGAAGACTTGTGTCGTTGTTTATTCGTTCGATTGCGAAGATCATGGCCTGCATGGCACCAAGTCCTGTCAAATATATCTCTCCACATTGTCTCCCTGGCTGGTCTGGCGGCTGGTGTAAGTTGAAAAGTCCGCCCAACATGATATCGCCGTCTCTATATGGAGCCTGAACAGCAACATAGAAGCAGAAGAAAAGAAACAATTGATAGTGCAACGAACTCATAGCAATACACGTCTTTTCCTTTTTACTTGTTGGTGAACCCAACGCATAGACATTAATTATTTGTACGTAGGTGTATTTTGGACATAAGGTAGTGATCAGTGACTTTTTATGTTAATTTCAATTCAGAAACCTGAAGTTTTACTCTACAAACAACAGTCAATTGTTATCACTTGTGAGCGTCTAGCTCGCTGGTTTATCTATATATAATAAATCAATGGTAACCACATGTAGGGGGTGGTTAAAATTAAAACGATCTCGGAGATTGTAATGCTATCTTTATGCAAAACAAATTAAAACCATCGCTCCTAACTTTTCATTTTGTCTTTTTTTTTCGCTCTCCCTCTCAATTTTTCAAGAAGTTACCATATTGAGAGAACGGAAGAAAAACAGAAGCATACCTTTGTTTGCTTTTCTAATTAAAAACTAGCCTAACAGTTTGACGCAGTTGTTAAATGGAGCTGTTGCGCGGCGAATAAAGAGACAAAAATAATAATATATCTATCTAGAACCTACTTTCTAAATAACGACGCAATTTTTTTACAGATTAATTTTTCTGAACTTGACACTAATTTGCATATTAATTCAAACGCACCTTCTTACCAACAGTGTTAAAATAACTTCCAATAAAATAAATAAATATTTCACTAAATTAGAAGACAGGAAGTTAATTAGAACATCACTCTGCCCGGATGTCACCATATGCTTTTCAAAACAACGTTTTCTTATTTTGCCATTGGAGAAGCTATCTAGACCTTCCGCTGGTCAAACCTTCTCAGAAACATAACAAAAAAACAATCCGTAGCACTATCTAGTGTTTTGAGACCTCGTTTCTTACTCAAAGGTTTCAACGGTTTAGCTTTTAAATATATTTGCAATGTAATGTCCGTTAGAAAAATGAATTTTTCCTCAATAATAAATTAACTTTCGTTTATTTACAAGTCTCACACACACACACACACACACACAAAGCAGATGTTTTTGTGACGGTCGACGTTTTGAATTTCCGTAGATTGCACTTTACTGGAAATGGAACAAATGTACGCATAGGTCAGTGTTTTTATGTGTAATTTAGTATGATCAACCGAGTAGATGACGTAAATTGGTCACCGTAATGAGTTTGGAGGTTGACGTTTCGAGCGTTAGCCCTTCGTTAGAGCGAATGGCGAAGGGTGATGATGATCATCTTGCGAAGTAACAGTCATGGCCGAATTATAAGAGTTCGTATGGGAATATTTACGACCGCTCTTAGAAATAAAAAAATACGTCAAATTCTCGACAAAAATACTTCACCTTACTTCCACAGTGCATCGCTTGTTATCTGGCTACTTACTACGTTGAAGGGAACCCATGTTAGCGAGTTATCAATTTCGAAGTTTTCTAAAGGGCTTTCTGATGTACGTAGAAAACCTCGTAAAGGATAACTCGCTAACGTGGGTTCTCTCTTTAACGTAGTAAACGTCAGATAGCAAGCGATGCACGGGGGTGTTCTTTCTAGAAATAGTGGATATGCATTCATTCTTCCGCGTATTTGCTGTACATTCACGAAAACCCTTCCAAATTGATCTCCCTTGCACTCTCCCTCGCCTGTTACTTTTTGTGTCCAGATTACAAAGACAGTACGATATAGTCTCAGAGACGAATGAATATTTAATGCCTGCGTGGGGGAAGGGAGGTTTACTTATCCAACAGTTTTTCAAAGGCGAGCCTTAAAATTCCCACCAAATACATGTTGTACATCTTCTGTACCCTTAACTCCTGAGGGTGACCAAGACACAATTTCTCTCTACAACATTTAAACAGTAACAAGCAGGCAAGGCGTAAGGAAAAAGAGATTATCAATAAGGAATTATTAGTTGATCTAATACCAAATTCTCTAAACTAATTATACCATCACAAGAATTACATTGTAAGTCAGCCATTAAGGAGAATTACTACTGAGATCTTGGTGTGAAAAGGTTAAAGCTAACTTTCCTAGCATACATCTCTTTGTCAGTTTACTTATGAGAAGCTTGTTCTGAATCATAAACAATGACTTACTGTAGTTGATGAGTTCCTTACTTTTGGTATCACCAGTGTAAGGAAATTGAGATAATGATCTCACTTGCGAGAGAAAGACTAATTCCAAAGGTAATCATTTCCATCATGAAATGAGTCTTGTCCGTACCCTTTTACTCACCTCTTCAGTGATGTTTAATTCACAAAGCAGATGTGATTCCATTGTGAGACAATCAATACACATTAGATTTTCTTGTATTTCACTACAGTGAATATTGTTTCTTTTTCTTTTTTTTTTAGCTGGCAGACTGGAACTATTAATTTTTTTACGAAATGACTTTTTTGCTATGCAATAGCTGAAATTAAAAAGCCTGCATCAAACAGCAAGCTTATATTTTGATCAGAAAAGCAAACGAGACATGATTCTGATTAATTTCGCTGTTTCGAAAGAGAAAGACCAATTAAGGGAGAACGAGGACAAACTCAACTACTCTATTGGGTGTGTATAGTTTCCTTTGCTTATTTTACGATGCGAATAGTATCAGACAAGAAGTCCCTCAGCTCACGTTTAGTTTGAGTTGAGTACGTGTAAACCGTGCTTTTGACAGTATTAATTAGGCAGCTGAATCGTACAATAAGCTTTATTAAAATCATATTGTTATTTATAACACAGTGCGTAAATTTGTCTAATCAAATTCAATTGCGTGAGCGTGCTTCATTTAACAGATTCCAATTTGCCGATGATGTCTATGATATATTGATGTTCTTACCACATTTTGACGTCCTCTGTGATCTATTACTGAACAGGCGCACGGCAACTTGGAATCTATTTGCTTTATATAATAAAGAATTAAAAAGTGTTAATGATGACGTCATGTATGCGTCTGTCCTCCAATAGATCATAGGTGAGAACCAATCAGAATGCGTGCATAACCGAGCTTATTATATAAATTCCTATTATGCACGTTCATGACGTCAGCAAACAAATCCTTCGAGAAAGAATATTTCTCCGCTATTTTTCATTATTGGATTTTACTATTAAAATACTGGTTAAGACTTCGGCGGCAATTTAAGCTAAACATGGAAAGTTGTGAGGAAGCTGATGAGAAAGAAATGTTTCCTGAAAACAAAATTATCAAGGCGCTGAAGCGTAACAGAGGGAATATTAACCCTTTTCCAACATTTAAACCATCGGGTTGAAAATGATCTGGTAATTTCTCTCTCGATAACAGTGCTTTGGACGTGTTGGCTGATCGTCCGTGTGAAAGTAGTCCTCAAAAGGGACTGTTGTCGTTGCGGTATTTGATGTTTCGAGTGCGTGAGAGAAGGTCATCATAGAAGCCCATATTGTCAAAACGACAAGTCCTATCATCGCAAAGGAGAACCTTGGAACCAGATATTTTCCCGTCCGGCCCCACCTGAATCAGTCAGTAAGCATTTTTCCATATCTTCCCCTTGGTCCACCTTCCTAAGATTTGGATACACAGGGCGGGAAGGTTTTCCTGGTCTTGCTCGCGCCATCGCCTTCGGCCCTCATACGGGGATGTTTACATTGTGTTTTTACATGGAGCGTATGCGGGGCCTTGCGGGTCATGTGACGATAACTCTTAGCCTTACACTTCCTTGACCTGGTCCTTAGTTTTCTCTCCTGGTTGTTACAGACTTCCTCAGAGATTTTGTTAAGAGAATAAGGTGTTTTATAAAGGAAACACCATCTACTGAACTTATTAGATTGCCAATTCTCGCAAACTGCTGGCTAGATAATATATTTCTATTATTATGACAACTAATGTGATAATGAGTCCAGGGAGTTAGGATGTTAACCCCCACACTGTGCTATCAAGCCATACGTGATTAGATTAAAAATGTGTATTTTTATCTCCTTTTCCTTCATCCTTCCCTTCTTGGTCATTGTCTAAAGGAAGTTGTCCGTCAAACTGGACGGGACTCGCGGGCTCCAGGACTGGTTGTGAGCTCTGCGTTGCTGTTTCAGGATCGGACAAAAATTCTTCTGGTATTCGACGGAAGGATGTTTCGTCATAAGGAGTATCGTCTTCTTCTTCGTCTCCTTCCTCTGCCATTTCGTCTTCGAGCTCCAAGTAGTCCTACGAAACAATAACAACAGGCAATGAGGTGTTTAACAGGCAACGTACTACAAACGAAAAAAAAACCAACAACAACAAAAAAACGCAGTAACACAAAATGGTTTTTGGACGGGAGTCGAGGAAAAGGGAAAGACGTGAATCTACAAGGGAACACTGAGAAGAAGTAGAACGATAAGCTATGATACGATAATTAACTGTTACTCAAAAACAACCAAATCGATGAAATAGCGCGGATATTGAAATGGGATAAGTACTCATAACAATTAATCCTTAAGTTTGCCGCTGCCACATTTCAGCTATTAATGAAGTAATCTCAAAATCAAGGTCAAAGATTTTTACGTGAAACTTTGCTCATAAATTGAGTAACTTTTCAGGTTCATACGCTCATACGTGCGCATGCTCTATAATTATGACTTACAGAATCCTCCAATAACATTCTTTCGGTGAGCTTAACAATATCTTCGAAAGTTGGCCTTTCCTTTGGGTCAGCGTGCCAGCAATTTGTCATGATTTCATATCTGAAAAGCAATTGAAATAAGTTAAAATTATTTTAAAATGAACGAAAAGCATAGACGTAAGCCTGATAAAAACAGAATCGATCTTCATTCGATTTTGTGACAGTCACACCAGAGATGCCAATCACAACCTCAAATTGTGCCTAATAACTTAATAACACTCAGTTACATCAAGAGTTTGAGATTAGCCGGGAGAAAATGAACCATTACAACTCTCCCATTATTATGAAAATATAATTTTCTTTAATATTCCTACCATTAAGATTTAACGATTACAGGAAAGGTGACGTCAGCTACCCAGGAATATTACAGAAAAAAGCATGCTCTCAAGTCACTAGCCTCCTCTAAGAATAAGTGTTAACTGGCCCATTAAGTTAGCAGTTAGCAGCCATGGACAGCCAGGCTGACTAAGTCCGACGAGAAAAAAATCTCTCTTAGTCTTGGTAGTCTACTCAGTCAGCCAGCCAGCTGACCGGCAAGGAGCCTGCAACCAGACTCTAAATGGGCCTGGGACAGAAGCTGTGAAGCACGCAGGTACGAGCTGGCAAAAGATGCGAACGCGTGAGAGTCTTATACTCAATTTTAGTGCCAGACTGCTAACAGACTCATCGTACACTCGTTTCACTCACCCAATCAATTCTGGCTGGCTTGGCCGCGCGTACCGCAGCGCTAATGAGAGGCTGGAGGCAGACTAACCATCCAGCGGTCACCACAAGTGATGACACCTTTGCGTCCTTTAGTTATTTAACTATTAAGGTCTAGCTTTCAGCGATTCCAGTTTATATTGGAGGGAGTTAAAAGAAAACAGCAGAATTCCTCACAAATGTTATTTCACGTACATTTCATCAGTGCATCTCTCAGGTCTTGACAACCTTTCTCCTCTTCTCAAAGCTTCAACAATCTCCTGTCCTCCCAAAGCAGCATACGGGACATTGGCTTCAAAAGAGACAGACAAAAGGCAAAAAAAAAAGAAGATTTTAAATTTGTTTTGAGGTATCTTTATAAGGACTGAGAGTAAATTTGAGAGACTGATATTTAAAACAAACAAACAAATAAAAAACAAAACAAAATCAAAACAAAAAAACATAAAAAACTTAGAAAGCCAATGCAACAATTGACAAGAAAAAGATAAAAAAAACTTTAAACCCTAAGAGTGACTAGTATCTAATTTCTCCCTACAATATCACTTTCTGAATCACACATTAAGGTCGTGAGGAAAGAGGAAATGATCACCAGGGAAGGAACCTTTTGATTGGCAAACAAATTCTCCTTGTCAGCATCTCAGGAAATGTAAAAAGAAAAGTGTGGAGAAAATGCATACTGATATTATGGTGTAAAGGGTTAGCCATAATCAAGAAGCCAATGCAACTCACCACCAGTTTCAATCTCCCACAAAACAACACCGTATGCCCATCTGGTTTAAAAAAAACAAATAAATAGTTTATCAAACGTCGTTATTGGTTTACACAAACACGACACTTTTGAAATTATTGTCGGTCAGTGTTACACATGGAATTACTGCGTGAAGTACCACTTAGCTTACCACTCACTTTAGCACAATGGTAGAGCATTGCATTGCGAAATCCGTAAGCGTGATGTTCTATGTCTCTTGGCAGATTCATTTTTTTTTTTTTTCTGTGCCTCGCTTGTGAAAAATGAACGAAGTTTTATCTCTCAGGAAGATAGCAGTCTGTATAGCTTTTAGCCATAAAATACTTACACATCACTCTCAGAAGTATAGGAGTAGTCTTGCAGTGATTCCAAAGCCATCCACCTGACCGGAAGTTTACCCTGCATTAGGTAAAAGATAATTCTAAAATAACTTGAAACTACATTCAACTCTTTTAGGACACAGAATACCTGTGTGCGGAATTAACTCGCACCAGTTACATGCCAAGGTCTACAAATCAAAGCAGTTGATAAATTCATTTACTTTTATCACACATTGTTATGTACCTAGACTTTTACTCAGCAAAACGAGCACTGCGATTAATTTATTCTTGGTCACGTGCCCCTGATCAAATAATTCAAAGGTATCCCGACTGGGATACAATTGCGCAGTTGTTGCCCGCGCGCCGAATACAACAGCATGTTTTTGCTATATGATTGTTTAAGGGAAAGTCTAAATATATAACAAAGCACTTAAGGTATGATCTCTCGGGAAACTAACTAGTTATTTATGTCTTGGTATTATTTATGCTATTTTATTTTGTCCTGATGTTTCGTCTCGGGAAACATCAGGACTCTCGGGAAAACAAAACCAACCGTTTCCCTCTGGACCATATGTTTAGTGTATATTGTAAAATACAACTGCAAGATTAGACAACATCAGTTTAGTAAGTAAGATGCATGGAGGTCATATTTGGAGATGAATGAACATCGGGTCTTACCCCGGTTGTAGTTTCGTACATCCCACTTTCATAGATATCACGAGCGAGTCCGAAGTCTGCCACCATCGGTATGCGGTTCTTTCCTAAAAGCACGTTTCTGCAGGCAAGGTCCCGATGTATACACTAAAGAGAAAATTCAAAGGATATCTTTTATCTACGAAAATTTTCGAGTTTTATTTTCATTGAGCCCCGAGAAGATGACACTCCTTGTACCAGGAAAATGTAGAAAGAGGAATCCTGAAAGACTAACAGGTTCAACATACAACTTCATAATTTCAACTTCAACGAGCCTTGGTTTTGAAGCTAGGACGCCTTTATCACTTGCTTTACGAAGAGTGATTAACCTACTACCGCAATTCCTCAGAGCGGTTGACTCGAAGAGGTTACATTGAGGACATTTGTTTGGGGAATTAAATTTTTGTTTGCAGAAAAACGTTAGGAATCCATGGTGGACCCGTATCTATTTGCATTCTTTTCTTCCCTGAATCTATGTTGTCGTTTCTGTAGCAGAACTTTATTGTAGCAAGACAAAAGCCTTAAAAAATCTACAGAAGGGGTAAAGAAAAGAGAAATTGCCAGACCACTCTTAAATTCGCTTCTCCCTCTTAAAAAAGGCTTCAAAAATACACCAAATAAATTACCAACTGATAAAACTTTGTGACTCAAATGGAATGCTAACGAATCTTATCATGGTGGTTTTCCTACCTTCATTTTTGCCAAGTGATTCATTCCCTTCGCAATGCCGTACGCGAAGCGAGTTTTTTCAGCATTGGTTATTCCTTTGGACTCCTCCTGCTCAGTATCCTTGTTTTTTACGTTGACGTAATTAGGGTCTTTGTAGTTCTCTTCTCTGTGCTTCCGAAGGTAATCCAGCAAGCAGCCGTTTTCAGCAAACTTAACTACGACCCACAGAGGACCTGTGGAAGAAACAAACGATGCGACATCCGGAAGTGAGGACTACGTTTACCCCTTGACCGATTGCGCAAAAAAGGTTCTACCCAACGGCTTTTTTTTGGTCTTAAAGGAGCTTCCATCACAAACCTACTTTCTCTCTTTGCCTCCATATATAGCGAACCACAGCCAAACGACAGGATGATGGCGTCAGGGAGCATTGAAATAGAATCTCATTGTCTTTTCCCTGGTATGTACACCGAAATGTTGTCATTATATAAGCATCATATTGGGATCTACTACCACTATTCAGGCACTTTGGTATATTATTTGACTACAAGTGTCGATGAGGGCGTTACCTGACAATCAGATTCCATGTTGTTAGGTAAAAGATCACAAATGATGTCAAAATGTGGTTAGAACAAAAAAAGGGGCACACGTGGTGCAGCCGTGTGTGTCACTGATATTCTTGTCACATTTTGATGTCTTCTGTAATCTATTACAGAATTATTAATTATTATTAATCTATTACAGACCCAAGGTAAAGTGAAATCTATTTGTTTAATATGATAAAAAAAAACAAAATGTTGTTAATGGTGACAACATCTATTCGTCTGCCCTCAACTAGATGTTAAATAATAACGAATCAAAATGTGTGTATAATACAGCTCATAGTAATATTCTTTCTGGAGCATACCACATTAAACCCTGGACGCGTGGATCGATATCAGTATCTGGGCAACTGCCCACCTACCCCTCCCCTAACCCAACATTAACCTTAACTTGTTGTCAATTAACTGTTGTTGAGTTAGGGGAGGGGTAGGTGATGTAATCTTGCGAAGCGATGATTCTTACCATCGTCTGAGCATGCTCCAATCAAGCTCACCACGTTCGGATGATTTCCGACAGAAGCCATGATGTTAAGCTCGTTGAACAAATCTCGTAACTCTAGTTCAGTTCCGTGTTCTGGCGGAATAATTAAAAAAAGTTAACCCTTAACTACCGTGAGTGACCAAGACAGAATTTCTCCTCACAGTGCCAATACAATATCAAGTATACAAAAAGTAAGAAAAAAAAGAGAAACATCAATTAGCTGATCTAATATCAAATTCTCAGAACTAACATCATAAGAATTGTATGACAGATAGTAAGGAGAATTGCTGATGAGATCTTGGGAGAGAAGGGTTTATTAGTATGGGGAGTTCGACATCAAAATAGCTTTGAAACGAATCTCTCTTCAGCAAGTTTGAGGAGAAACAATCCAGACTTTACTGTTTTTGTTTTTGGGTAAATAGAAAAGCATTTTCATTAAAAATGTGTAAAAAATTATTTCACATCAGCTTACATACTGCCATTTTTTTGTTCACGCAGTAGTCAAAGTGATATATTTACAAAAAGCCTTATATTGTAGACGTAACCTTATATAAAGAACTTACTTTTTAACATCTTTACAGCGCATTCAATGACTTTATTGTTTCGCATTAGAAATCCTTTCTTTACGACACCAAAAGCTCCAGCGCCAAGTTCGTCTCCAATCTTGAGGTAATCCCGCGGGATTTCAGGCCAATTTCGATGGAAGTTCTCTGGAACCAAGTGGAGGTGTTGCGCATTAAACTCGTAAGGGTTTGTGTCACCAGCAGGACCGTAGGTTCTTCTCCCTTGCCTTAGTTGTAACTAAACAAGTTAAAAACATTATTAACAGAGCAGGGACTATAGTGACTATGTCAGACTCATGAAATCAAGGCAAATAAAGGAGTATGACCAAAAGAAAAAAGACACACACACACACAAACAAAGAACGAAAATGACATCCTAGAAGCTTTTTGAGATGTTTCTGTAGAGTTAACGTTTTGAGTTTCCGTAGATTTTACTTCATTGGAAACAGTTGTCCAATTTCATGCAATTAACGAATGTCTCAAACGGCGATGGAAAATCAACCGTCACGTCGAAATAAATTCCTCGTCAAAGGCTTAACACAAGATTTGAAGATATAGACGCAAGGAATACAAGGATTACAGACGTTAAAAATAGAGGCACACAAACCTCATCTAAGGTAAACCTTCTTTCTTCGTCTCGAGGGGGAAATTGACGTTTACGATAAAACACAACAGCAACCACCACCGCGACTAGTACAAGAACTGCTGCAAGTATACCAACGACTATGGCGACAACTTGTGTGCCTGCAAGGCGAGCAAAGCAGTAGAGTCAAAAAAGAATTAAACAGGGCTTTAACTGATCTATGAAATTGTTTCAAGAGGCACCTCAAAAGAGAGACAGTGAAGTATTAATTGCATTTATTGAAAGAAAAATACTCCTGACACTGTGGGAACCCAGTAACTGAGCTAAGAATGTTTCAGAAAGGGGATTAGAAGTGTGGCAGCAGTATGGCTAAGTGTAAGAAAAAAAAAACTCGTATAAGAACGACCACAACAATAACAACAGTAACAACGATTAACAATGTTAAATCAAAAGCTCGATACAAACCCTTAACTACGCACCTTTCTCGGTAGTCATTTCTAATGGCTGCGACAACCCGATTTTTCCACTTTTATCCCTATGTGCCGTAACTCGTACCAGGTACTCGGTATCAGGTTCGAGCTTAGTCAGTTGCGCTTTGGTGAGATCAGCGCCCACAGACATTTCAGTGACATATCCAGTTCCACCTAGAACCTTTTTCATCTGCACAGTGAACCCACTGACTTCGTACACTTCAGGGTGGTGTGGTGGCTGCCACGTGATGGTGGCTTCTTTAGCTTGGATGTCATCAAGTCTCAAGTTTGTCGGGGGTGGCGGAGGTAAATCTGCGGCATAATTAGAAATAGTTTTGTCATTTTATCTGTCTGTTAGACTTCGCAATCCGCGCTGGATTGACGGTTTGCGTGCTGAAGTCTGAGTTGAGAAGTTCGGGTTCAAGTCCCGGCCGTCTTATCGTGTTGTATTATAAGGCAAGACACTTTACTCTTCACCATGCCTCTCTCCACCCAGGAGTATAGATGGGTATCAGCAAACTTTCAAGGAGTCCTGACGGTGGACTGGGGAAGGGAGGGGGGGGCTGTAATGTGTAATGGACTTGCATTCTATCTAGTCTCTTCCCGCAACAGAAACCAGGATAAGTTCCAGGTAGAAGGGCAGTTTCGTCAGGGTGCAGACTTTACTTCTTTGACCTCATCATCAAACTATAAGGGCCGGTTATTTATACAAGGTGTAACCCAAATCCTCAGAGATTCACTATCAGAGGGTTGACTCTGTTCACAAAAATCAATGTTCAGATAAATGGTTCGGTTAAATTGAAGATGGCTTGGAACGCGGTTTTGGTAAACAACAGCTAAAATCTGTTTAAATAACCGGCCCTAGGTGATTTGTGCGAGAGGCGTGAAGAAACTTTGTATTCCATGTTCATGATATCACTGTAAAAAGAGGAAGTAAAAGGCATACCTAAAATAGTGACGCTTTTAATAGGAAGCACACCAAACTTTTTTGAGTCTGCCATCCTCAGGATTCCTTTTTCTATTTCATCTGACGGATCTCCTTCTGTCGTCGTCGCATTGATAAAAAGATTCATAATGACCCTAAAGAACGAAAGCGCAATTAATATTGAGTTGTTTCCATAGGTGCCATGGATGGCGTGGTAAGCGTACTACACTGGCCGAGTTTGAAATTATTGAATAGCAAATCAAAGATAAATTTGATAGTTTAAATTTAGAAGTAACAGTTGAAGGATCTTGTATTGTAATCTTACTGTTGAGAGTAGAAAGGTTTCTTGTCAATGGAATTGATTGACGTATCGACGACCTTAGCCAAATTTATGCTTACCAGACTGACTAAATAATAATGAATTAAGGGGGTAAATGTCTAAAAAAATTTTCGTGTCAGGTCAGTGGGGGTAGAACAAGATGATTTGGTTTTATCAACTGAATTGGCCACCATAGAGAGATTTTAAAGCTGACGCTTCGAATTTAAAGTTAGCCTTTCGTCAGAGCGAACCACGGTCCTCTAGTTTTCTATGACAACGGGTTTAACTTAGTAATAAATAATAATAATGATAACCATGATATTAATAATAACAATATTAAAAATAATTATAATAGTGCTCGAAACGTCAGCCTTAAAATCTCTCTACGGTGGTCAAGTTACATTATCAACTCAGTTAATAAAACCAAATTATTTTGACTAATTCAGTCCCTTGCGTCGGTTCGGGCAAAAGAAAATCTTCTAACCCGAACGGCGAGAGTGTATGTAAAAAAAAAGTAGTAAATGTACATTCAATTCACCAAAAATCTCTTGAATACTCACTCAACATCCACTTTCCAAACTGTGCGAATAACTGACACTCTCATATCCTGTAGCTTTGAGGAAAAGTTTCCCACCTACAAGAATATCACATATAAATATTCATCACTTCATTTCAATATAATTTTACCAAATAAGGTCACAAGAACGCGCAAAACATGCGGCGGTATTACACTGTAGAGCAGACCAAAAATCCGGAGCAACAAAATGGCTGCACTGAGCGATCTAAATTTTGAATTTTAATTCGTTTTTTAGGCTCCACTTTTAAAGAAAGGGACTTAAAAGCACGAGAGATTTTTTTCGTTGGTAACTAAGAACACTGTAATGGTTTTGTTCGTGTTGTTTTCGTCTTTCACGTACTCCTTATGCAATCGATACGATGCAGAGATAAGGCCGTACAATGTATTTCGCATACTAAAGAAAAATCAAGACAGTAAAAACTGAAACAATAGTGGAATAATAAATCCCTTATTTGATGGTTTAACATACAATACGAGCTCATTGCTCATATTTTTCCTCGCCCCTACAAGGCTCGGAAAAATAATGGGCAGCTCGCAAAATGTCCATCGAATAAGGTGCTTATTGCAATGTTTACCATCTAGATAAGATCTAACCTCTGATTTAATCTGCTGACCAAGGAAGCTGTTGAGCGTAGCATTGTTTTGGTAATGCTTTCGGACTTCTGAGGTCCATTCCACTTTAATGTCCATTTGTACCGTCTCATAAACTGCCGATAAAGTAATACAAAGCGTGAATATTAGCCCAACATTTAAATAACATGCTCACATGAATCGAAGAAAGCAACCAATTAGGTTTTAGCGAGAAAACCAAGCGACGTCAGGATTCAGCAAGTACTGAGCAACTGATAGTTAATGTAGTACTGCTCAGGGTAGTCTGTTAACATAATTTATAGGAAGTGTGAAATGAATTAAAATCTACTGTACGCGCTCTATGGTTGGCTGTTGCCTGTGAACAATCATAAGTCAATGTTTGCAAGATTTCTTTACGGATTAAGCAAGTTACAACCTTACAGAAGAAAAAGAGAGAAAATAAAATAAAGAAGCAGGCGAAAACTTTTTTTGATACTTACATTGAACATAACTGAAAAATACGTGAACTGGAACAAATGCATGTAAAGTTCAGTGTTTTTATGGGTAATTTAGTAGGATCAACCGAATTGATCACGTAAATTGGCCACCGTAAAAGTTTCGAAGCTGACTTTGAGTGTTAGCCCTTCGTCTGAGCGAATGGCGAAGGGCTAACTCGAAACGTCTGCTTCGAAAACTCTTCACGGAGGCTAATCTACGTTATCAACTCAGTTCATAATACTACATTACCCTGTTATACTCTTCCACCGACGCAGCACCACAGTCTCCTTAGACACTTACCCCTTTATCAGTGTTTTTATGGTTTTACTTACAATACTTTGTCGAAAAAAACCGATCAGTCCATATTGATGAGTATTTTCAGTTCAGGAAGATGTAGGGACTTCAAAGTACCTTCCACATCCAGAACTTGTCTTCATAATTGTTGGTTTGTTGTTGTTGTTGTTGTCAAAATGAAGACAGTCAATCCAAATAATTATTGTCTGAAAACGATTATGGGTCATTATCACGTCGACCGCTAAAATTCCACAGCCAAGTTGATAATTTATTACTTAAGGTGTTAGTCCTTTAAGATATATATATATATATATATATAAATATTATGAGAGGAAAAAAGGACGTAACTACATTTCCCGACAAGCCTGTTTCGTGAATCGCTTCACTCTTCAGGGGTTTAATCTTAAACCCCTGAAGAGTGAAGCGATTCACGAAACAGGCTTGTCGGGAAATGTAGTTACGTCCTTTTTTCCTCTCATAATATTTATTCTGCTCTGCTTCAACGTATTGAGCACTGTTCCACGCGAAAATCGACTTGCAGACTTCCTATATATATATATAAAAACTGTGCTAGAAGTAAACCCCATACCTCCGACCAAAGTTAACGTAACATTGCTTGAGGCTTTTCCCAGACGATTCTCAACCACGCACTTATAAACTCTCTCTTTGTCCAGATCGTCAACGTTTGAGATTTGCAAGTTTCCGTTTTTTACAGTCAGCGTCTGAACTTCTGACGCCATGGGATCATTATCGTTGATTAAATTCACTGGATTTCCCTGCCTGACATCTTTATTCGCACTAGGGCCATCCACTCTCCAATATAGAGACGGTGTTGGAATCCCTGAGTAGTTGCATTTCAAAGTTACTGGATCGCCACGGCGCACGTACACCTTCTGCGTCTTGGGCGCTATAGAGGGTGCGGCTACGAAGAGAAAATAAGCGAATATTACCAATCAATGGATATTACACAAACGTTATGGATCAATGACCTTACCCACTGTACCTTGGAACTGTGAGTACGTGGGTCGAGAACATAAGTTAGTAATGAAGGTTGATGGCCCCTTTGCCGACTCAGAAGAGACTTAGACTCTGCGTGAGAAGAGTTTCTCGTCGATTGAATAGATGACCTTAGTTTCAATTGCGTTGTTTCATCAAAACAAATAGTTAACACACCAAGTCGGGACTCCACTCGGGATAAGATCTTCCTTTGAAATACGTAACACAATGCGTGTTTCCATTGAGACACTCTGGTACGCTAGTTTACTGACTTAGACCAAAAATTAGTGGGGGACTGGTCATTATGGTCATTATTTGCCGCCGGGGAAAGGGGAGCGGAAGGGTTTGGTTGTATCACAATAAAATTAACCTGATCCCCCTAAGGCTCTGAAGTATACTAACGACCCCCTCCCTCCTTTATTAGCAGTCAATTCTCTATAATCCCCCGCTTTATACTCTATTAGCGACGACTGATTTCCTATCCGCTCGCCCTGAAATAAAACCATGTGATCTCATTTCCCTCCCCCAGAAATGAATAAAAAGGAAAATTATTCTTACCGCAACGAGTGTTATATTGATAAGTGGTAACGTTCCCGGGTGCTGGAGTTGTTATCACTGACCCGTTCTTCAAGATTCCGATCACTTGCACCGTGTATGATTTACAATAATCCAGAGAAGGAATAATAACAGAACGTGTGCTATTGTCCACAGTTATATTGTTCAGCTCAGCATTTCCCTCTAAAATAATGACTTCATAGCTGGCGATCTTTTCATTGCTAGAGGGAGCATTCCAACTCACATTAACGGCGGTTTCATTTATGAAGTGGGCCGTCAAACCAGGAACCCCTTCAAAATAATAAATCAAATTAATTTAGTGTTTTTGATAAAATGATCCTCACAGATTCGTGGCGAAAGGTCTCATGCATGCTTACGTCAGAATACCAAATTTTCAACTTTAGGCCTCGCTTACATGATGAAGACTAGTGAATTTTAATGAGAGTATTCCCAAAAACACTGAAATCCAAAACACAAACAAGAAACCTCACAAAAAATAACAAGGAAGTGACCAAGATTCAAGAACATTTAATGCAAACGAGGCTTGGAGAACACACTGAGATTAACACTGAGGGGTACCATCAACTCGTTCCTTTTTTTTCCGATGCATCGGAACTCATGGATAAAAATCGCTCGCGCGCCCTTTTCATGGAATAATCTCCATTTAACTTATAGACCATATAAGTGAGTGCGCGACTCTTCTAAATGATGGACGAAGATCAGTGATCCAAGAAAACCAAAGTCATTGTGAATCAAAGAACTACTGTCGATGACTAAACATTGGACAATAGGCAACCCAAACTAAACGCTTGGAGTCTGCTTGTTTATTTGTTTCATGGTTGTTGATGTGATTGTTTTGCTTGTTTTTTTCTTATTGTTTTGATCGTAGTTTTTGTGGCTTTTTTCTTTTTGAATATTATTTTCTTGTTGTTTTTGTCTTGTTTTGCTGCTTTTGTCTGACGAAGCGGTGTACTGTACCTTGCGCATTAGTCAGGAAACCAATCTCCAGGAGAAACAGGCAAACGATTCCCGCTATCCGTGACTTCATCTTTGTGAAAGATTACCGCGCTGCACTTTACGTCTGTGTTGAGAAGGAAACACTGGGCGGGTTTAAACACAATTAATTTCCTAATTAATCTTTAACAATGGTTTCAAATTAAAGTTCGGTAGAAAAAGAGTTGAAATCACAGAACACATAATGAAAGACACGGGGCAATGGGGATGAGTAACTTGTGCAGCCACAGGAAGCCTAAGCCCCAGCTGTGAGATGATCATCTTGCGAAATAACAGTCATGGCGGAATTATAAGAGTTTGTATGGGAATATTTACGACCACTCTAAGGAATAAGCGGGCTTTTCTTATTTCGTAGAAAACCTCAAAATCGAGAACTCGCTGAAATGGGTTCCTTTCAACGTAGTAAGCGGTCAGATAACAAGCGATGTACTGTGGAAGTAAAGTGAGGTATTTTTATTGAGAAATTGACTCATTTTATTATTCCCGGCATAGAGCGGTCGTAAATATTCCCACACAAACTCTTATAATTTCGCCATGACTGGTACTTTGCAAGATGATCATCTCACAGCTGGAGCTCAAGCCGTCTGTGGTGCAGCTAGCGGTTTTGTGCGCGCTTACACTGTACGCAATGAGGCTTGGGACCGAAGATAGTTTTTTTCCTCTTGTGGATTCGCTGCTCATCGCTTTGAGGAAAACCGTGAAGCGTACACAAAACCACCAGCTATGCAAGCAAGTAGGTGGGAAGGTGGGAGGGGAGGGGAGGGGGGACTGGTGTCTTCCTAAAAATAGTGGATATGCATTCATCCTTCCGCATATTTGCTGTACATTCACGAAAACCTTTCCTGATTGATCTCTCTCGCAGTCTCCCTCGCCTGTTACTTTTTGCCTCCAAATTACAAAGACAGTACCATATGGTCTCAGGGACCAGTGAATATTTATGGAAGGATTTTTTTTGTGTCACATTGAATCCCCTGTTTTATAAAATTCTTATTATTCCACCCCCCTCTTTGGCAGATTGGAAGTCAATTTTCTTTAGTCACTCCTTAACCCTTTAACTCCCAAAAGTGATCAACATGGAACTTCTCCTTATGATACCCATACATTGTCCTACCTACAGGCATTGAGAAAACTCTAACTTATCAGGTAGAAGTTGTTATCTTCATTTAACACTGAATTCTCGTAGCTAATTTACAAGGAAACGTTTGGCTGCTAGAGAGGAGAATTAACAATCAGATCTATTTAATACTCGATTGTAGACAGCTGATGCCCCCTCCATCCCACCTGAAAACCATGTGATCCCCCTCGGGTAAATGGCACTTAAGCTCGTTGAGTGAAAAAAAAGCAGATGTGAGGGGGCGCCATTGACAGATCCTAAAATAATGTTATCTCGTTGTAGCTCCGCATTTGGGATTAAAAGCAAATGATCAGTCAACCGTAACACAGACATACATATCCATTCTACACGTAGCTTTAGAAGGAAGACAGACTAAATTCATTTCGACCTCCATTTGATTTAGAATCTAAGTAATTCGTCTCTTTGTGGATCGTCTTTCGGTTTAATTCTTTTTTTAAAAAATGCAATTCAAGTTAATTAAGTCCTTCACCGTCATTGTGTTTAAACATTCCGAAGCACGATATTTATAACTTTCGTGATGATGCGCTTCGTCAACTGAAGAGCGATCAACACTTCGAAAAGCGCAGCCTTACGTTAGCTTCGAATCCTATCGCGAAAACCTCGCCGTGAAAGAAAGTCTTGATTACCATCAGAATATACAAAGATTGCTTCGGTTGGTGGATGAGCTATTTGTCAAGCAGCAATATAAGTAAACATTTCAACCACTCGCCAATATTTTAACAACTGCGACGTGTTTGACGGACAACAGTTGGTTACAAGAACGCAAAAGTTGATGACTGACATTGAAATATGAAAGTATTTCTATCTGAAAGTATACAGAGGAATAGAAGATTTAAGACTTGGTGAATTAGCATACCACTTCTGGTGTCAGTGACAGACGCAATTGTCTATCAAAGCTCGATTCTCTTCACTGCCGCGTCAATATCGCAAGACTGTGCTTCTCAATTCGTTTCGTAAAAAGCATGCAAAATGTGCAACGTTGTTCATAACATCTTACCTGATAGTTAACGTACAGTTGTTCTTGTTACGTGTTTCATTTTGATGCTTCAGCAAAAGTCGACCGATGTAACACTTCAATAACCTCTAGCTTCCTGTTCAGCAGCTCGATTAGTACTGGTGTCTAGAATACGTCACACAAGTTCCTGGTTACAACTACCCACCTCTTATCTCGTATGCCAAAGAAGGAATCTTTAGGAAATATTATTGTATATGCTATGGATTTCATCGCCGGGAAAATTATACGAGATCTTCCCTGATATTTTTGAGCAGCGGATACTCTCCAAAATGATGGCAACAACATGGCGGAAGCAAAGTCTTATAATAGGACTTTGTGTTTTTTCAATCATAACCACTTTAGTGAACAAGGTTACCGATTTTTGTTGTTTGGAATGTATTTTATATTTGATATAAATTCGATTGTTATCTCAATGTTTCAAGTAAAACGTCAGTGCTACATGCACTTAGGACTGGTTGTCTTCGCTTTTTCCCTAAAGATTCGTCAACAAAGGATCGATCACAGAATAAAATCAGCTAAACCGTATTGACACTTTTCCGTCCGTTTGTAATCCGCAGCACGTTTTATCAGACCTGAGGTTTACTTATCCAACAGTTTTTCAAAGGTGAGCCTTAAAAACCCTCATCACATACATGTCATGTACGTTCTGTACCTTTTAACTCCAAAGAGAGACCAAGATACAGTGTCTCCCTACAGCATTAACACAAAATCAAGCAAGCAAGGGATAAGAATAAAGAAAATTATCAACGAGGGGATCAGTAATTGATCCAATACTAAATGATCTAATTATGCCATCAAAATAATTCCAATTTATGTCAGCCAGTAAGGAGAATTACTAATGAGATCTTGGAGTGAGAAGTAACTCTCTGAACATATATTTCTTTGTTGGTCACTTATGAGAATCATAACCAGTAACTTCCTGTGGCCGATGATTTCCTTACCCCTAGTATAAATAGAATAAGGAAATTGAAATGATCATCTTACCTAGAAGAGGAAGACTGATTAAAAAAAAAATCATTTTCACAGTGAAATAATCTTGTTTCTGGCCTCTCATCCTCCTCTCCAGTGATGTATAATTCACATCATATGTGACTCCACTGAGAGACAATCAATAATATTACATACTACAAATACATGTGGTTTGTCTTTTTTTGTTATATTTTTAGCTGGCAGACTGGAACTGTTGCCATGGTGCTACTTTCTTTGAATGCTCTGGGATACATTGAAATCACCTTTTTACCTGTCACAAGGTACATCTGAGGAGTTGTAGTTAATTTTGATAATAACTGGTGTTATTTATGTTACTACATTTATATATTCACACATCCCCTTAGCATTTTGGTATAAAGCTGTGTTTTTTACACATGCACTTGTAAAAATTTGTATCGCTTTCCTTCTTAAATTTACTCTTTTTTCCATTATTTTAGCACCACTCTTGCATCATGGCTGCCTGCTTCAGTGCTGTATAGTGGAATAATTTATTCAGGATCAGTTGCTCTGTCAAGACTGGTCAGTGTTCAAAGTTTTTGTCAGAAATAAATGAGATGATCACATATTGATCTGTCAATAACAAATATTGAACTGATCCTCTCAAATAATTATAAACTGATCAGATTCCTCCTAGAAGCCTTAAAAAATTTCCCCCTAAAACTTTTTTTTTATTTTCAGCCAGTCTTGACCCTATCCCTAGTCTCTAACTTAAAATTTATCTAATATTTGGGAAGCTTAGTTTGCACTTCAATGAGGCTGATGCTGTATCAGGCCTTGTTTTGTGCAATTTCTTTCTTACCTGTCACCTGTGTAGGTGTCAGTTCACAGGGACTTCCCTTCTCAAGACTTGTTTCTTCTGCTGTCAGTGTTAAATGGGAGTCTTAACCCTTTAACCCCTAAGAGTGACTGGCATCTAATTTCTCCTTACCATATCACCCCAAGTAGCTGATCACTGACTAAAGAAGCTCTTGATTGTTGAAAAATTCTCCATGTTAGCATCTTAGGAAATGTCTAGAGAACAGTATGGAGAATATGCATAATGATGTAAGGGTCCTAAGGGTTGAAAGAAGACACCTTGAGAGTTAATGGTTACATGCATATCTCAAACGTTTCCTATGTAGATGTTTTTGTGGTCAAACATGGGAAACTTTCTTTTTTCCTATCTGTCTTTTCCTAAAACAGCCAGTTCCAGTTTTCTGTACCATGTGTTACTTAAAAACATTGTTGGTGGCATTATTAGAATCCTTCATATTTAAAAAGGTGAGTGTTTGAACTATTACATTGTATGTGCACACTAATTTACAATGCAGCTCTTGTTTTTAAGTCAGAAGCAACATTATTAAACAATTTATTATTAAGTAATGGTAACTGTTTGTGATTGCTAAGAGAGCAACTTGTTGCAAGCCAATCCCAACTGACTTGCCAGCTGTTTTCACTATAATGGCTCTCCAACAGTTACCTAAAGTGAAATACACATGGACGTTAACATTGAAGCTAATGATCACTTCACACATGAATGTTCATAGATATATGACATTCCATGCAAAAAAGTTGGTTGATGAAATTCCCTCTTGACAGTTGAAGCACCAGTAGGGTATATAAAACAGTAACATGTTGAAAGAGTTACACTGTAAAAATTCCTTGAAAGGGGTAGGAAGAGGACTAATAAAAAATAAAAATAATTTATAATAATAATATAATAATAAAAATAATAATAAAATCCAAATTCCTCCAAACTCCAACTCCTGAATTATTGTGGAGATGCAGTGGCCTTTGTACTCCCTTGGATCAAGAGGTCATGGCAAAAGTCCTGGGCAGGCTATAATTGATCATTGTAGGGTATATTTGATCATTTGGTAATTGAAACCAGTTTGGTATTGGAGATGCCCAAGCCTTGGCAGAGTCTTTGTGTTGTGTTTTAGAGCAAGACACAGGACTCTCCCTTTGTCTCTTTTACCCAGCAGACTAAAGAAGTACCAGAAAATTGCTAATCCTGATCAAATACTGAGAGGTAATAACCTGCTACAGTAGAGTAGTATCTTATCCGGGTGTAGGGGGAAGGAAGGAAGTCCTTTTCTGCTTTAATGAGAGTTCTTGGCTCTAGAGAACCAAATACTTTTTTTGTATACATTAAGTATTTTAGACTTTAAAGAGGAAATTTGTTGATCAAAATCAAAACCTTTCTTTCTGCAGGAGCCATCAACAAATTCACAATTCAGGTGGGGTTATGATCATAATTTGTCTTTCAGGCCTTCATTGACCCACTTTTCAAACAGATCCATACAATAATAAATTGCTTCTGTCTCAAATATTTTATTGCGTTTTTGAAATATTTATCCTGAAAATGTAAAAGCCTCAACATTCCCCCCTTCTTGGGGAACCCTGGCATATTTGACCTTTGTCCATGCACAGGGTTGAGGAATTTGAACCTTGTCTGGCTGGGATGGAGAATTTAAACATAGAGTGTCAAGTCTTTTCAGTGGAATGCAAGTGATTTACAGTTAAATATGGAGTTGCATAATAGTAAATAGTTTACTATTGTAAATAATTTTTACCTTGGGGCAGGAATTTCAACAAATAAATCTTCTTTAGTTCAAATGCTATTAGGGAAGTTGCCAGGGGAATAAGACTTTGATAAAAATTCAGCTGTTTCTAAAATGGATTTTATTTCCTTTTCAGTTTGATATTTACAGCTATTGCAACAGTATCTGTCGCAGGAACTGATGTGCAGGTAATTTTATATACCTGAGTGTATTTTCTTATTTCTCTTGTAAATATGTATATAAAAACATTAATTAGTTACATGACTGTGTATAACTTAAATGTTTGTGTGTCCTAGACAAGGGTTTATTCATTCATTGTATTTCACTTCTTGTTAGTTTGATCAGATGGGATACAAATGGCTTATGATTCATTCTGGACTTTCAGGCAAGTATTGCTGAGAAATTTAGGTTTATAATGGGTACTAGAAAGCTGTTGGAAAACCCTGATGAAATGGCAGAGGATGGGGGTGTGAGTAACCTGCAATGGACTGGCATAATCCAAGTGGGAGTAGCAGTACCCTAAGTTACCTCATGCCACTGAAACTGGAAAAAGCCCTCGCTAGATGGACCCTTAAACTCCCAAGGTCTCATTAGTGATTCTCCTTGCTGTCTCTATACAGTTCTTGTGATGTTAGTTTGGAGAATCTGATATTGGATCAAATAATTATCCCCAGGTTGATAGTTTTCTATATTATCATCACTTGTCTGCTTGATATTGTATTGATATTGTAAAGAGAAATTCTGTATTGGGAGTTAAAGGTTAACTTAAGGGCAGGCTTTTCCATTTTCCAACACTTTTACATAGAAGTTTCGCAGAGATTAATCCTTTTTTATTTAGGATGTGTGTTTCAAATTATCAATTTGGTTGAAACAAGGGTCTGTATTTTTTTCCATGCAGTCAGTGAATATATCTAGTTTGTTTTCATAGATTCATTTAGTATAGCCAATTTCCAAGTTTTTAAGATATTAAGAGTATTCTATTAACTTACCAGATGGTTTTGTAATTTATATAAATAATAATAAAATTACAACTGTCCTGTTAGGTGACCATTTCATGTCTCTGTCTTTCATTCCAGCCATTTATGTATATTATGGAAAATCCCAAAATAAGAATTCATTAAATGACTTGGATAAATTATTCTACAATGCTGTTGTGAGGTTTGTCTAATTATTGTCTTTTGCTGATTGTTTTTCTCTATGCAATGAAAATCTTGATTCTTATTAATAAGTTTCATGGATGCTTTTGATGCTTTTGTTCTTTGTCATTATTTTGGCTCCTGTTTCTTTAGTCTTGTTCTTCCTAATTTTTCTTTGATCTGTGAAAATGATTGACAGTTTCTACAGTCTAAGGCAACTTTTCCAGTGTATTGTGGTTTCTTTATGTTGTCATGTTCTACATTTGTGACTGGTAATGGACTTTCATTAGCATCTCTATATCTGCAGATCAGAATCAAGTATCTGATGATTTTAAGGAAATAGAGCTTCTACTAACAGTAATTATGCACCTTGAGTTTGGTGTTGTTGTCACTTTTCTTGTTATTGTTGATGTTGTGTCTTGGGCTGGTATTCAATTGAGATATAGTATTGAATTAATATTTTTCTTCTGTGGTTTTTTCACAGTGTAATTGTTTTGATGGGAATCAGTGTTTTAACAGGTAAGAAGAGAAACTCTTTTTGAATATAACTTTGAGCAAACCATTCAAATCCGTTAGGGTAGTAGCCTGACAAAGGGCTAATGCTCAAATCGTCAGCTTTGAAACTCTTTATGATGGCCAATTTACTCTCCACAACTCTTTGACAAAGCTAAATTACCCTGTTATATTTTCCCACTGATGCAACATTACAGTTTCTTCAGAAACTTACCCCCAAAGATTCAAAGCATTGAGTAGAAGGAGCTTAATTATTGGGGGAGTGGACTTCTCACACTGGCTCCCCATTTTTTATTGGTTCAAAACCAAGGGACCTTGATGCTCATTTCCTGAAACTAATGAGAGCACTCTCACAGGCTTTCCAGGTATATAAATGCTAAATGTTACATACCTACTACACTTTTTTTGATGGTGGAATCATCTTTTGTCTGGCCTCACTTTGAAACGTATAGACAAGTTTGACTTAATGCCAATTATGATCTCTTCATTTGTACTTCTCTCGGTGGAGTTCTGTAGATTTCTGTAGATGGTACTTGTGTCCTGCAGCCTTTGTGGCTCCCAGTACCTCCACATTTCACCTAAACCCTCTCCATGTAGCCAGTGCATCCCTCTGTCAGTTGATTGATCATAGAGCTGTTTCCAAGTAACACAATAAAATAAATTGTTCAGATCACCCAGAAAACAATGATGTCAAGTATATTACAGAAACATGATGCAAGCATATGGGTTTTTTTTTTTTTAAATTTTAGTTGACTTTGTTTTGTTTTGTTTTTTTCGTGCAGGTGAACTTTACAAAATAATTGAGTTTCCTTTCCTATATTCCACACACTTTCACCTTGGGTGCATGGGAAGGTAAGCAGTCTTTTGCATAGAGTCCCTAAATGCAATGCAGGTAGTTGTAGCTACAGTGTTGATCATCAGACTATATTATCAAAATCTAAGTGAAAGCTAATACTCTTTAACCCTTTAACTCCCAAGATCTCATTAGTAATTCTCTTTACTGTCTGCTATATAGTTCTTGCAATGTTAGTTTGGAGAATTTGGTATTGGATCGTCTTCTCGGATAGGACTTAAAACCGTAGGTCCCATCTCCTGCAGGGTTAGGGGTAGGAGACGTTAATTTCCCACGCACGAGATTACTGTGTGATGGATGTCCTCCCCTGGGGTGGGATGGGTGGGTATTTATTGGGGTTGAATATCAATTGGGACATCGTCCTGTTTTCTTCTCCAGTTGCCGATACTATTCTGTACGTGTAAAAAATTTCAATAAAGGATAAAGGATAAAAGGATCAACTAATAATCCTTAATTTAATATATATTTTTTTCATTCTCATCACTTGCCTGCTTGATATTGTATTGATATTGTAAGGAGATATTCTGTTTTGGTCACTCATGAGAGTTAGAGGGTTAAAGTGTCGCTTTTGAAACAAAATAACTGTTGCAGCTCTCCTCTTCGTCCATTTTATTTCAGTGGTATATTTGGAGCAGCACTTGGGCTGATAAGAGTGTCTCTGTTAGATACAGAAGTTTCCTATTCATTGGGAATAATTGATAGCCTTAATAAGGTCAGTAGATTCCAATACCTAGGCATTTTTTACTTAGTCCTGGTTTAGTGTCTGAGCCAAAAAAATTATTGTGAGCGTGATGATAGAGGTAAACAGAAAACAGGAAGATAAACTGTTTTTAATGATTTTTCGGATAAACTTCAAATAACGATCTAGGGAGGTAGAGGGAAAAAAGTCTTCATTTTGTTCGCGTGAGTGCAAATATTTTGACTTCAGAGCAGAAGTGGCTTGAAGTGTTTGTTCGTGACCTCTTTGCTTTTCATGCACCAACAGGAAAATCCAAGCAGCGTCACGAATTTCGCATTACTTCGGTACAAGGGTTGGTTATCGTTTGAGGAATAACTGAAAGTAGTTTCAGAATTTTTTGGGTTTCGCCACTTGCCACTCTTCTCTGTGGACTTGGAACTAAGTATACTGGTCCAAGTTAAGCGGATACATCCCCCCCCTCCCCCAATACGATTAATTCTGCTCCTCACCCCTCCTTCCAGAAAACGCCTATGAATAATTTGGTAAAAAAATGTGTCAATAAAATTGGAAACTTCAACCCCATCCCCTGCCCCTCCTCCCAGACAACCTGCTTGGGCATTTGAACTTTTGAAGGCTGGTCTGTGCAATTCTTGCCCCAACCTCTCCTGGAGCTTGATGTGATGGTCATTTTTTTTGTAATAGGCAAACTCAGAAATCATGGCTTTCTACGCACGGACCAATCCTTAAAACTTAGACCTTTTCTTCTGCCGAGCCATTCGCTCACGAAGGTGAATTTATACCTTTAATCACCTCCTTATTTAAAGATAAAACACTTTTATCCCGCTGGGAAGACTTAACACTTCCGGTTCAAATTCTCCACCCCAGCCGGGCAAGGTTTAAATTCCCCACCCCACGTGTAAAGACAATAGTCAGATGCCCGTAGATCGCCCGGGGGGTGGATGTTGAACCTTTAGAATTGATCGGTGCACGATTGTTTCGTTGAAACAATTGATCGATGATAGTTAGGACTTGGATAACTCTACTACTCCACAGGTTGCCATATCGTTTCTGTCACTGTTTATTTTCGATGTCACCCTTGACAGTAACATGGCTGTGAGGTAAAATGGATGATTCCTTTTTATTTTGTTATGTATTTTTTCTGATTTAGTATTTATCATTAATTAGTAAAGCCGTGTAGCTAAGGAAGTGTTTTGAGATTAGGACTAGTATAAACAGGTTTTAAAGCTCGTCTTTGAGACGCAGCTGGTTGAACTTATGTATTAAATCCTTACAACGGCACCTGTGAGTGACATGTTCATAGCTTCGGTTCACGCCACGTTTTGCAAGAACAGGAAGCACGCTTTGACGTTTTTGCCACGGGAACCAAACGAGAGTATTGTAATTTAATTTCAAAAGGAACACGTTTTTTCATAACAAAGCCGAACGACATTCGGCAAAAAAAATGCTGGCCTCAGTGATCTCGAGTTAAAACGTTTTTTTAAGTGCTTGTAGGCAACGAATGCCTCTTTCTCTAATTTTTCCGCCTAGACGTAATTTTTTCAAAAACAGAACTTTTAAAATTACAACCATACCGATAAAATAGATGGCATCCTGCAAAAAAAATCAAGGTCCTCGTAATTTTCAGCGCTTTTGCACCACAGTATGCCCTTGAAAGGTAGCACAATGCAAGCACGGTACAGTATGAGGCACAGTGCAATATGGACCACAGTGCCATATATCGCAATAACAGTAGAATAACCCCGCATAGATCGGTCTGGTCAGTCAATTCTGCCGGAAAGATGATTGACTGCGTCAAGATGTGAAAGTCTCTCGCATGATGTTTATCGCATTGATTCTGAGATATTATAATAACAAGAAATTTTTTATGGTATTTTTCGTTCCCAGCATCATCGCAGTCCTTTGTAGTGGAGTACTTTATTCGTACACAGTCACTGTTCAGGAAGAAGCCGAACAACGCACTGCTCATCCAGTCCGTGACAGTTAGCAGTAAACTGTCAGCAGGAGTTGACACAAGGATATGAATTGAGTTTTTTATTAAATGTATGTTAAATTCTCAATGACTTGAAATGTGCCAAGCCAAGCCGTAGAGGCGTCATCTGTGTCCCACATATTACCTTAAAATGTAGGCGACTAACCAACTTGAAGGAGTCAGTTTTTCTTTTTCTCTTAGTATCTGATTTCACCGCGTGTAGGTCATGGCCTTTTTGGGATTGCGTTGCGTTGCACAAAGAAATGGTGTCGACTGCGTTAAACGCTTGAAGATTGCGATCATTATATAAGTTAGCAAATGCCGATTCGTAACGTGTGATCTTAGTAAAAAGGGAAATAGATATGTTAAGGGGAGAAGTCTGATGGATACTGACACTGACTCTCTTTTTGTTTCATGGATAATTTACATATTTTTCTAGATCTTTTATTCACATTTAGGAATATCAGTAGCTGGCAATCAAGAGGATTGCCGCTGTCGCTGTTGTGTTTAAATAAAATTTAATCTGTTCTTGAGGAAAATTCATTCGTCCAACGGGACGGGATGGTTTGGTCAGCGGAAGGTCTAGCTAGCTTCTCCAATAAAATTAGAAAACATTGTGTCGAAAAACATATGGTCTCGTCTGGGCAGAGTAATACTCCAATTAACTTTCTGTGGTATAATTTAGAGAAATGTATATTCTACTGGAAGTTATTTGAACACTGTTGGTAAGAAGGTACATTTGAATTAATATGCAATTATTCTCAAGTACATAAAAATACGTTCTAACTAGTTGGAGTGGTATTTACATTTGAAAGTTTTCAGTGCGTGTTAATCTGTAAAAAATTGCGTTGTAATTGAAGAAGTAAGTTCTATAGATATATTAGAATTTTCTCTTTTTATTCCCTACGCAACAGCTCTATTGAACAACTGCGTCAAACTGTCATAAAGCTAGCATTACAATGTCCGAGATGTTTTAAATTTAAACACTTCCTACATATGGTCACCATTGTGGAGTAAAATTTGGTTTCTGAATTGAAATCAACATAAAAAGTTACTGAACACTACCATATGGGCAAAATACATCAACGTTCAAATGTTTATGCGTTGGGTTCACCAACAAGTAAAAAAGGAAGAGACGTGTACTGCTATGAGTTCGTTGCACTACCAGTTGTTTCTTTTCTTCTGCTTCTATACTGCTGTTCAGGCTCCATACAGAGAAGGCGATATCATGTTGGGCGGACTTTTTAGCGTGCACCAGGCGCCAGACTGGCCAGGGTCGCCATTTGAAGAGATATATTTGAGAGGACTTGGTCGCATGCAGGCCATGATCTTCGCAATCGAACGAGTAAACAATGACACGAGTCTTCTTTCGAACATTTCCCTAGGATATGACATAAGGGATTACGGTGGAAACCTCTCAAAAGCTGCGGGACTCATTTATCAACTACTGACCGTTGATTCTTGCGTCAATTTAAGCCAAAATGCCCCAAGAAAGAAAGCCATCATTTCTTTAATCGGCCCAAACGAATCTAGAACAGCGCTATTCATTGGTGGATTTCTTCGGATGCTCAATGTTTCGAGCATAACTGGAACAGCAACCAGTACGGAGCTTAGCTCTTTTACCTATAAACATTTATATCGAACGGTGCCTTCGGACAAGTTTCTTGCAAAAGCGATGGTTGACTTAATTACGCACTTTAACTGGGGCTATGTTGCTGTCGTAGGACAAGATGATTCGTATGGAAGAAGTGGAGCATGGGCAGTGCTTAGCGAAAGTTCGTCAAGGAAGAGCTCGTTCTGTATTGCTTTGACGGAGTTTATACGCCTCGAAAGTCCACATCTGAGTGTTCGGAACATAGTTCAAAAGCTTAAACAGATGGACAATGTCAAAGTTGTGATCTTATGGTTATACGAGAATTACCAAACGAAGTTTTTGGCAGAGGTTCAGAGGCAAAACCTAACTGGACGTGTGTGGATTTTGAGCGAGATTCATTTAACTTCTACACTGCCAGTAAAAGGTATTCTCGAGAGCTCTTTAGGATTTCAATTCCATAAATTCAGCGACTCTGGCTTCAAGGAATATTTAAAAGAAATATTGGTCAAGGAGAAAGACGATAGAAGTTTTTCTGAATGGAACCACATTACAAGCGAAAAATGGAAGTTCTTGAAGAACATGAAGTGTGTTCATCGCCAAATTGAGCAGTGCTCTAGCGAGTTGATTAAAGAAGTCTACAGCCCCTATGTTCCGTACATCATTGACGCCGTATATGCAGTGGCACACGCACTAGATATTTTCAATCGAAATTTTAGCTATGACGTGACCAAAGATCGGGCGAAATTGCAGATAGCCAATAGTTTTGACGTGCAGAAGCTTCTTGGCCGCGTCAGTTTTGACGGACTAACTGGAAAAATCAAGTTTGATCGATTTGGCGACAGGAGCTCGGCGTTTTATGACATTTTCACCTTTAAAAATGTACCCAATGGAGATGTCGAGAGCGTAAAAATGGTGCTGATAGGAGAATGGAAAAATTCAAAGAGGAACGAAACTCGCTTGATTTTTCATGAAGCCCTGAATTGGACGACTAAATCTGGTCGCCCTCCGAAATCGGAATGTTCAGAACAGTGTCCCGCTGGAACAAGGAAATCTTCTACCTCACCTTGTTGTTGGCGGTGCCTTCCGTGCCTTGGCGAAACCATCAGCTCATCTGCTGGTTCTGAAAGCTGCAGAGAATGTCCCAACGGAACAATATCTAACCCAGCGAATACAGAGTGTGTCGCCTTACCCTCTGCCAACATAAGCTATACGAATATAACCGGAATTGTGATTCTAACGTTTGGCACCCTCGGAGTTGTTGTCACATTGTTTTGTCTGGCTGCCCTCTACAAATTCTGGAATAGTCCCATCGTCAAGGCATCTAATAGGGAGCTTAGCCTTTCCCTTTTATTTACAATTCTTGCATCATTCTCTCTGGTATATATTGATGTCTTTAAAACCACAAATACAATTTGCATGATCATATACCCGTTACGTTATCTGACCTATAACATCTGTCTCTCCACATTATTGGTAAAGGTGTTGCTTATTTCCTGTGCTTTTCGGGTTCCCATTATGACCAGTTTGGAGCTCACTTCTCTTCCAAACAAAGCACAGGTTGGGATTGTTATAGCATTTCTAGCTCCACTGTTGTCGGTGCTGATGCCATGGTTGCTTTTGGATCCACCCTTCAACTTTCAACATATCTATCCGAAACGTTACACCTTTGACGAATGCAAGGCATACTCCAGCTCAGTTGGAAAATCTCTATTCCTGGCAACATGCTTTTATATCTTCTTCCAAATGCTAGTGTCCTCGGTCTGTGCCTTTAAGGTTAGGAAGATTCCTGAAAATTCGGCGAGGCCAAACGAATCGCCTTTTCCATGTACATATGTTTTTTCTCGTTGCTTTGTTATCACCTGGTAGAATTGTCCTTGAATGGATGGTATGTAACGGTTGTGGACTGTGTAACAACTCTGTTGAGCGCGTACGGTTTCCTTTGTTGTCTATTTTTGCCCAAAATGTATATTCTGTTCTTCAGGCGGGAGATGAACGATGCGAATGGCATAAGACAAGAAGTCACTCAGTTCTCGTTTAGTTCAGGTTGTGTACGTGTAAACCGTACTTTTGATAGTTCAAATTAGCGAGCTGAATTGTACAATAAGCTTTCTTAAGATCGGTAATTTTGTTCACGTGTGCCATAGACCTTTAAGTAAATGAAATGTGAACCCAATATTAAAGAAAATTGTACATTTTAATTAGCACTGCATTACAAATATAGGCTTCAAGCCATAAAAACACTTAAAGTTTCCATGGATTGTTTCTTTTTATGTTTTAGGATGGCTTAGTTATCGGGAATTTTAAATTTGCTTCCTTGATGGCGAAGAAAGAAACATTATTTAAGAAAACAAAGGGCAACGAAAGCGCGGAATATTAAACTGCCATTTTGCATCTTTAATCTTCCCTCATGATTGACTATTTCTTTGGCACCTGTGCTGGGATTGGACTTTAAGCCTATTCTTTGTTATCCCTATTCATGGACTCCTTTCCACATATTAGTCCTGCCCTCACACAAGGCAAAGAGTCTTTTAATACCCTCGTCCATCCATTTCATTTCCTATTTCGGGACTGGAGGCAAAGAGAATTTGTGACTTGAGGCAAAAAAGCCGTGTCTTGTCTCTTAGCAGCAAAACTTATTTCCGCAACGTATGCTTCTTGCATGATTACTTAGGAAACACTTTGTCTCCGCAATGATGTTTCCAAGTTTAGCCAAGCCTTTGGGCAGATGCTTAGATAATTAAACTGCATGAGATGAGAGCGATCTTCGGTGCTATGAACACTAGCTACGTAAAAAACAAGGAAAAAAGGAAGACTTTTTGTGCATGATTTGCGAGGGAGATGAAGGATGCGAATAGCATCAGACAAGAAGTCACTCAGCTCTCGTTTAGTTCATTCAATTTGTGTACGCGTAAACCCTGCCTTTGAAAGTTCTAATCAGGAAGCTGAATCTTACAATGAGCAAACTTATTTCCGCAACGTATGCTTCTTGCATGACTACTTAGAAAGACTTTGTCTCCGCAATGATGTTTCCAAGTTTAGCCAAGCCTTTGAGCAGATGCTTAGATAATTAAACTGCGTGAGATGAGAGCGATCTTCGGTGCTATGAACACTAGCTACTTAAAAAAAAAAAAAGGAAAAAAAAGGAAGACTTTTTGTGCATGATTTGCGAGGGAGATGAAGGATGCGAATAGCATCAGACAAGAAGTCACCCAGCTCTCGTTTAGTTCATTCAATTTGTGTACGCGTAAACCCTGCCTTTGATAGTTCTAATCAGGAAGCTGAATCTTACAATGAGCTTTCTTAAAATAATTTTGTTATTTTGAGTGTGTGAAGACTTTTACATGCACGTAAATAAAAAATGGAATCTATGATGGAGAAAATTCATTTTATTAACTGACACTATCTTGCAAATACATTTATTACTTGACTTTTGATGAAAATCACCAAGAAATACTAGTATGGATCGTTCCATGCTATGTTTGCAGGATGGCTTATTTGGTAATAGGTTATGCTCCCCGATGGCTAAGAAAGGAAGCTTTGCGGTTGAGGAAGACAAATGGCCAGTGTGCGCTGAATAATAGAGTGACTGATTTGCATTTTTCAAGCCGTTTGTCATTTTTTTTTGTGAATATTTAATTATTTTAGCGCAACTTGCCAAAAATAGATCAGGCGAGTCGTTATTTAAAAACCGAGAAGTCCGTTACGCAACTAACATTTCAAAAGTGTCACCACCGATCGTACATTGAAGCTTACTAGCCGCATATGGAACACAAATTGTAAGTATAATATTTGCCCGTCGCTTCAACTGAAATTGACGTATGTAATAACCTTCTTTGTAATATTAGTTTATTTTTCAGTTGACTACTTCTGTTACGAGTGCAAAATAAATTCCATGTGCGCGAAAATCAGTTCAACTGAAAATAAAAATCTACTTCAAATTAAAGTAGCCAATTCAATCAAAGGAGCGAATCAGTGACTCTTTGTATTTTTAATCTTCCTCTATGACAACATACACAGGAAGTCTTCAGAAACTGCGTTAGACAATTTCACTTCCCTCATACAAGCTAAGAAATAACTATCTCCTTGTTCAGTAGAGGTCTAGCTAGCTTCTCCGATGGCAAAATATGAAAACATTGTTTCGAAAAACATAAGGTAACATCTGGGCAGAGTGATTTTCTAATTAACTTCCTGTCTTATAAGTTAGTGAAATATTTATTTATTTTATTGGAAGTTACTTTTACCCTGTCGGTATAGGGTCTTAATGGGGTGATGCTTTACGGCTGACGGTTAAAGTTTTGGCAAATTTATGGCTAACAGTTAACACTTTTTCATTGTTTCCACCAGACGTATTTTTTACAGTAAACGTTTTTTATGACTAACTGTTAGAATTTGCCAGTTTTTACGCCTGACGGCTAAATTGTTTGGCCGTTTTACGGCTAACGGGTACCCAATTGAGACCCTCTTGGTAGGAAGGTACGTTTGAATTAATATGCAAATTATTGTCAAGTTCAGAAAGAGAAGTTCTACTCAGTTGGAGTGGTTTTTGCATTTGAAAATATTTAAAGCGTGATTATCTGTAAAAAATTGCGTCGTAATAGGCTAGTTTCGAATTGTCTGTGCGAGATAGTCTGGTAACTAATTATCAGCACCAAGCCGAGGCCGCGGGGAATATGCGCTTATCTTGAAATTAAAGCAAGATCGGAGTAACTGTAAGTTGAATATGAAGTTTTGTGTCATCCCTGTGCGCAAAAATAACTCTAAACAAGGCCGGACCTCAACTTTTTCTAGTTTCCAGGCGAAGAGAGACTAAGAAAGAAATGGAGTGCCTTCGGTCGTCGCGCTGATAAGGAGTTCACGTCCATCAAGAACTTGGATGTATGATCCAAACACTACGAGACTAAACAAATCCTGAAGACACTTTCTGGAATTAAAAGGCCAGCACGTGGCACGGTTCCAACAATATTTCATCAGCATACAGTCCGAAAAAGTCCAAATCAACGCGAAAAAGGTCGAATGAGGGAAGAAAACAAGACGTTAGCGGTGACAGCATAGACGAACTTGCCACCAAAATTTTCCGCGTTTCTACTGATATTTCTGTGAAAGACCACGACTACTTCCTTAAGGAAAACAAAGTTCAAAGTGACTGTTTCTTGTGAAACAGACATTGACCTTCAACAAGTGGATGATATGGAAAAAGTGCTGCTAACAAAGCAATTCGAAACGAATTTAATAACAAGCCAGTATTGAAACGGAAACTTTTCATGGATGATGTACTGAAAAATGACGAATCGATGAAATTCTTCACGGCATTTCCAACCTTGGCCAGTATAATGCCATCATCGATCAATTATGCCGTGGTACTTCAGGTCATCCGCATGCCCGTCAGTAAATAAGCGAAAACCCTCAATACTTTTATACGACCGTAAACAGTCTTCATCGTAGCCATCTTTTCCAACCAGACAATGGTTAACATCGGGAAACCTGAGGTTTGGAATACCGGTGAAGTCATGAGTCCAAAACTTAAGCGAAAGTGGATGGGGAAGTAATTTTCCTCCTGCCAATGTTATCTCGGAATTTATCAACTCGTCGCGTTGCACTGTTTCCTTTTCAAGTTTTGGGCCTACTATTTCAGCCGCGTTCTTGCAAAGCTCAAGCAGTTCTACCCCTTGCCTACTTTTACCGTTTACGGAAATATGAATATCCCTTTCCTTTAAAAATTTCCTTAGCTCTGGAACTTTCATATTTGTGAAGGCACCATTTGCTGCCATGTTGAGACGACTCCTATTCCCCTCAGTTTCGACTTGAAGCTAAAAACTAGTTAGCAGACTTTCTCGCACAAACAGTTCGAAACTAGGCTATTGAAGAAGTACGTTTTATAGAGATACATTATCTTTTTTCTCTTTATTCGCCACGCAACAGCTCCATTTAGGCTAGAAAAGCAAACAAAGCCATGATTCTGTTTTTCTTTCGCTCTTTCCAATATGATGACTTGTTAAAGAAATTGAGAGAGAGATAGAGAAAAAAAAAAACAAGAGAAAATGAAAAATTAAGAGCGATCGTTTTAATTTGTTTGCCATAAAGCTTGCATTACAAAGTCCGAGATCGTTTTAAATTCAAACACTCAACATATGGTCACCATTAATTTAAAGTTTATGAATTAGTCCAGCGAGCTAGAAGCTCACAAGTGATAACAATTGGCTGCTGTTTATAGCGTAAAATTTGATTTTGAATTGAAATTCACATAAAAAGTTACTGATCACCACCATATCCGCAAAATACACCTACGTACAAATAATTAATGTCTATCCGCTGGATTCACCAACAAGTAAGGGGAGAAAAGACGAGTATTCCTATGAGTTCGTTGCACTACCAGTTGTTTATTTTCTTGTGCTTCTATGTTGCTGTTCAGGCTCCATACAGAGATGGCGATATCGTGTTGCGAGGACTTCTCGGCGTGCACCAGCAGCCGGACCACTTAGGGAGCCGATGTGGAGAGATACATTTGAGAGGACTTGGTCGCATGCAGGCCATGATCTTCGCAATCGAACGAATAATTAATAACACGAGTCTTCTTTCTAACATTTCCCTTGGATATGACATAAGGGATTACAGTGGAAACCTCTCAAAAGCTGCAAAACTTGTTTACAAACCTCTGACCGTTGATTCCTGTGTCAATTTAAGCCAAAATGCCCTAAGAAAGAAAGTTATCATTTCTTTAATAGGCCCAGACGAATCTAGCACAGCTCTATTCATCGGTGGATTTCTTCGGATGCTCAATGTTTCGACCATAAGTGGATTAGCTACTTGTGCTGGACTTAGCTCCCTTACCTATAAACATTTATATCGAACAGTGCCCTCGGACGAGTTTCTTGCAAAAGTAATGGTTGACTTGGTTACACACTTCAATTGGAGTTATGTTGCTGTCGTTGCATTATATGATTCGTATGGAGCATGGGCAGTAGTTAGCGAAAGTACATCAAAAAAGAAACTTGTTCTGTACTGCTTTGACGGAGTTTGTACGCCTCGAAAGTCAGCATCTGAGTATTCCAAACTTAGTTAGAAAGCTTAAACAGATGAACAATGTCAAAGTTGTGATCTTGCGGTAATACAACAATTACCGAACGAATTTTTTGGCTGAGGTTCAGAGGCAAAACCTAACTGGACGTGTGTGGATTTTGAGCCAGGCTCATTTAATTTCCACACCGCCAGTAAAAGATACTCTCGAGAGCTCTTTAGGATTTGTACACCATGGACTCAACGACTCTGGCTTCAAGGAATATTTAAAAGATATATTGGTCAGGGAGAGAGACAATAGTAGTTTCCATGAATGGAGCTACAGTAAAAGCTAAGTATGGAAGCTTTTGAAGAGCAAGAAGTGCGTTCATGACCAAATCGAGCATTGCTCTAACGACTTGATTAAAGAAATCTATAGTTCCTTTATTCCATACACTCTCGACGCCGTATATGCACTGGCCTATGCAACAGATATATCAACTGGAAATTTTATCTCAAGCAATACAAGTAATCGGGACAAATCGCGTATAGTAAATAGTTTTGGCATGCAGAGGCTCCTTCAGAGAGTCAGTTTTGACGGACTAACCGGAAAGATCAAGTTCGATCAATTTGGTGACAGAGGCTCGGCGCACTCTGACATTGCTAGCTTTAGAGAAGGACCTGTGGGAGATATTAAGAGCGTTAAAAGGGTTCTGGAAGGAGAGTGGATCATTTCAAATGAAAATAAACCAAACATAGATTTTTATAGAGACTTTATTGGAAGACTCCATCTGTTGGCCCCCCGAAATCTGAATGCTCGGAACAGTGTCCTCCTGGAACAAGGAAATCTTCTACCTCACGTTATTGTTGGCAGCGCCTTCCGTGTCTTGGTGGAACCATCAGCTCATCTGTTGGTTCTGAAAGCTGCAGTGAATGTCCCATCGAAACAATGTCTAACCCAGCGAATACAGAGTGCGTCGCCTTACCCTCTGTCAACATAAGCTATTTCTCCATGTTCGAGGAATATTCATGTTATTAACTGACACTGTATTGCAAAAATATCTATAATAATATCTATAAAAGGCTTTCCACAACGATTAAAATCATAAGGAAATACTGCTATGGATCGATCCTTGTTATGTTTGCAGGATGGCTTGTTTTGCTTCCCCGATGGCTAAGCAGGGAAGCATTGCGGTTGCAGAAGACAAATGGCCACGTGTGCGCTGAATAATAAAGTGACTCTTTGCATTTTTCATGTGCATTTTTAATCTTCCTTGATGACAATACACCAGGTAGTCTCCAAAAACTGCATTAGACAAACTTTCATGGCCTCAAAAAAGATAAGAAATAACTTTATCTCCTAGTCCAATAAATTCCCTCTCTTTTTTTTCCTTCCTCTTTTTTTGGGACCTTCTTAAGTCTCTTCTTTTTCGACTTTGCCGCCGGCCATTGTTGACGGTCCAAGTTCTTAAGAAACATTTCTGATGAGCAGCGATGGAAACTAGTCAACATTTATTCCGTTGTGGCAAAGCCACGAAAAACATTTTTAGAAAGCTTAATCTGCGTCATGCAAGGAAAAAGCGTCGTCTTGTTACTTAGCAGTTGAACTTGTTTCCGCAACACATGTTTCTCGCCTGGCTAATTAAGACATTTATTTAATCAGGCTTTTGGGTAGATGCGTAGATAATTGAACTGTATTAGCCTCAAGGTCGGATATTATTTATCATCGTCTTGAAGTAGTTTTGTTGTGTCACTGTAAAATTAACCTGATCTCTCGACAAGGTTCTACATTATTCAAGAGGTCCTTGCTCTTTCACCGTGAATTTCAAGTTTCTTTAGTCCTCTCTTAATATTCTGTTGGGGAATTCTAATGCGCAATCCGTTCTTCAAAAATCCTTTGCGTCATAGCGTCGTGATTTACCAGGCATTTATACAACGGTGTTCTTGAGACATTGCAATTACAAATTGAGATGAATTGCCGCGAGCCTCAAGATACTTGATTCAATTAAGAGAACATTCTACAGTAGAGTTTTCATTGTCTAGGAAGGAAGATCTGGCTCAGCAGAGTTAATTTGGCGAAGAACTTTGGGAAAGTTGTTCAGAAGACCCTACGGCACATATTTCACTGCACGAGGGAAGATCACTACATGGTCAAGGATGAACGCTTGCCCTTGAATCAGTTTTCTGGTTTTTAAAGGATAAAAGATACGGGTATGGAACATCTGTTGCTTTAATCAGAGCTAAGGATTCTGGTTGCCATTCCATAGTTAGGTACTAAACATTTCAGCTTCATGAAAATTAGGTATTTGTACTGCAACTTCAAAAGTAAAACCCCATATGCTGTTAATGACCCAATTAAATCCACAGTCAAATGAACACTACATAATCAATCAAGCCTAAATTTCTAAACATGATCTCTCTTAGTTGCCCTTCTCTAGAGGATGATTTTCACATAGTGCATACTTTCAGAAGCAGTTCACACAAGGATATGAACTGAGTTCTTTATTAAATGTATGTTAAATCCTCAATGAGATGAAATATGCCAAGCCAAGCCGTAGACGCGTCGTCTTTGTCCCACATATTACCATACAATGTAGGCGACTAACCAACTTGAAGGAGTTAATATTTTTTTTCTATCTTAAGAGAGTGTCTCTGTAAGAGCGGTCCGGTCGATTTTGCTTGAGACACGGATTTCGCTCATTTCTTGTGTGTTGTAAGACATTCATGTACCTGGGAAACTCAGGAAAAAAAAATGCCACAGCCATGTAGATTAACTCTATCTTATCCATCGAGGTGACTTTCGTGAACATCACGTTTCAATCAAAGAAACTGGAAGACTTGAATGACACCTTATCGATTCACTTAAGCCGCACACGCGAAAACCGATCAAATGCAAGGTAAATTTTTGAAAAAGTGAGGCGTTCTTGACTGATCTAACTAACATAGCTAGGAAGTAGGTGCCATAGAAAAGGTAACTACAGAGAGAAACTTTGCGGCTCGACCTTTACAAAAACTCTTTAACTCCGTGAACTTACTTAATTTTCGGCAATCTCTAAGTTTGGCCGCCATTTTGAGGGACTTTTGAACATGAAGCGTAGCAGATATAAATCAAGCAGGTAGATCTAAAACCATCAGAAATACATACGAAAGTAATTCAAATGAACTTTACTTTCAATTCAAGCAGCAAAATTTTGAAATTGTTCGTTTAACTTACTTTTCCTACATCCCCATGCGACCATTTCTTCCAACAATTCAAACACTACAACTAGTGTTCGAATTCCCTTCGTCGATTCCACCTTAAGAAATAATCTGTGCCACCTAAGCTTCGACTCCAATGTGAAGTACGAATCAAATAACATAACTGCTTCATCTTCGAGGCAATATCACACTGGTATTTTGATTTTCGGATCGACAAGAACAGTGATCAGGAAGCGATCGCCATGTTTACCTCATAAACGTAACCGCTGACCAGCCGCTGAATGAAAACAGTATAACGCGGGGTGGGGTGAGTGGCGGGCTTATCGTCATAAGATATTCGAATACATGCTTGAAAAGCTTTAGGACTCCCAGTCTAAACAGTGAAGGCATGCTTCGTGGTACAGACAACTTTTATTATTTTTTTTCATAATATTCTCCTTTAAATTAGAACTGGTATTAATTAATAGAGTTATCAATATATTTTTAACCGGGGACCTTTTTGCTTGTCATCAGTGGTATAAAATAAGATATCTTTTCTACAAGAACCTTTTATGTATGCCCCATTGCACGGAATGAACACTATACTTAGAATATTTGTTCTAGGTTATTTTTGCTGTTCCCAAGAATATATGCGAAATGATAGAGATTTGATTCACTCAGCTGACACGTTCTTTTAAGTTAAGGCCCGTGCAGGTTTTTTCTATCTAAAGTCGTGCGCGCGCAACACACCGGAATTGAAAACTCGCCGTAAAATCGCACGAACCTTAGAATGAGTGTAGGCAACTTTGACTTCTGGCGAGATGAAGTGGATGGTTCAAAGGACCCCCTAAGATTTTTTTCAGGACTATAACTGAGATTTGTTTATAACTATGATAATCGTCATTATTAGCGGACTGTGCTTTTTATCCATTGTTATCATCACTATAGTATCACGCCGGAAGAAGTATAAATCCGGAACGTTGCCTAACCTAACTACACAGAAAATTATTTTCTCTTTGCTCCGCTTGGATCCTGGAAACTGTAATTATTAAGATGATCAACAAGAAGGCCTTAATAATTACGAAAATTTTTGATGAACAGAATATAAGAAAAAATCGGTGGGGAGAGTAATTCGCATATCTTATAATCTGAACTATAGTTTTCAATAAAACAAATACCATTGAATTCAATTTACCTTAGTTGTCTCTTGTTTAAAAGTGGCGTTTCTGGGGACCGTAGATTCTTCTCTGATCCTTCTTGTCTCAGCTAAGACTCACTCTAACTTTTTTCTTGTGCTTCTTACGGCATGGGACACAGAGAACTGAGGTAAGCGATTGCAAATTTCTCAGTAAAAGTGAAGCCCAGTAGCATCCATCAAGAATTGAAAACCGACATGCACTGTTTACTTGTATTATTCTTAATCAAATAAGGGGTGTTTTGGTCTGCAAATTTAATCATACTGGTTAATGAGAACCATATAAACAGAGGAAAACTGACCGTAAATAATTGTAAACCGTACGCATGAATAAGTGTATTGCGTTGTCAGGTGATTTGATCTTCTACAAAAACATTACTGATTATCAACCAAGTAACCTTGTAAATATTTCCATCTGCAATTAAAGGCACTTACACCTATGTTTTTTCAATGTGATGTGTACTTAAGTACCGTTAATCTAATATAGAGTTTCTTCTCTTTTCAAGAAGAAATGTCACGAGATAAAAATAGATAACAGAAAATGTTATTGAAGACTACCTGATTCAACTGGAATAATAACTCCAAACGTTCATCCTCCTGAGCGAGGTGAAATAGGCCAGTCCTTGCCAAGATTAGCCCATTTTCACTTAAGACCTCTTTTGACAGGTGGCAGCTTATCAAATGATGTTTTACTTCATCATTGCATTCAAACAGTCGTACCAAACCACTTAAGCCATGCGATGAACCAAATTTTTTTCCATCTTTGCTATTTAAAAAGCAGTCCTGAGACATAATGAACGTCTCGCTAGCGAACGACGTCTTTCTGTACTTGTAATTGTTTCTAACGCGATACAAGTTCGGGAGATCTAAAGGAACTCACTAAACTTTGTATACTCGATACGATTTCATTTTCCAGGACAAAGGAGAAGCCTACTGTAATTCGTGAGTTGTCAGTGGTTACGCTGGTGAGGTAAAGAATGGGTTTGTGACTTTTTCACTCAATTACTTTTTCACTCAATTGAAAAGACTCGCGTCACTCTTTTGAAATGGTTGAACGGAATACAGACTCCGAGCAGTCTCTTATTTTTCTTAAAGATAGTGGGGTCACGCGTATCCTGTGAGCATAGAGAAGCCGCTCCACGCGAGACTCGTGTCTCGCTTCTTTGCCACTCCACGCTCTCAGAGTTGGGCAAAGACAAGACACGTTACTTCTGATGCGATACAAGAGGTTCAGTGGATATCTCGATTATCTAAATTCATTTTTTTTACGTGGTAAAGATTTATTCATAAATCTATGAATTGATGCCAGTCCTATTTGGAACGAAATGTACTTGAAATAAAAAAAGAATACTAAGCAAAACAAAAGTTGTCTGCAACACGAAGCTTGACCTTGCATTAAGACTGAGAGCCCTAATGCTTATTATGATAATTTAATGGATATGTTCGAATGTTCCCAAAAATCTTCTGATAATCTGCCCACACCCACCCCACATTCCGCCCCTCACCACCGAACCGTACTGTTTTCAAACAGTGGCTGGTCAGCGGTTACGTTTATGAGGTAAACGTGGCGATCGCTTCCTGATCACCGTTCTTATCGATCCGAAAATCAAAATATCAGTTTGATATTGCCTCGAAGATGAAACAGTTATGTTATTTGATTCGTACTTAACATTGGAGTCGAAGCTTGGGTGGCACAGATTATTTCTTACGGTGGAATCGACAAGGGGAATTCGAACACTAGTTGTAGTGTTTGAATTGTTGGAAGAAATGGTCGCATGGGGATGTAGGAATGGTAAGTTTAACGAACAATTTCAAATTTTGCCGCTTGAATTGAAAGTTAGGTTCATTTTAATTGCTTTCGTACTTATTTCTGATGGTTTTAGATCTACCTGCTTGATTTATATCTGCTACGCTTCATGTTGAAAAGTCCCTCAAAATGGCGGCCAAATTTGAAGATTGCCGAAAATTAAGTAAGTTCACGGAGCTATAAAGTTTTCGTAAAGATCGGGCGGCAAAGTTTTTCCATAGTTACTTTTTTTTTCTATGGCACTTACTTCCTAGCTATGTTAGTTAGATCAGTTAAGAACGCCTCACTTTTTCAAAAATTTACCTTGCATTTGATCGGTTTTCGCGTATTTGACTAAGGTGAACCGATAAGGTGTCATTAAAATCTTCCTGTTTACTTGATTGAAATGTGATGTTCACGAAAGTCACCTCGATGGATAAGATAGAGTTAATCTACATGGCTGTGGTATTTGTTTTTTGCTCAATTCCGTAGTTTTTTGTAAATTGTCCTCCAAAGTTGTCTTAAATTAGAGTCGTAAAAAGTGTCACGACAAGCCTTTGTTCGAGTGAAATTTAATTTCCGTAAAACTCTGAAAAATAAAGAGATCCGATCAAACGGATTGAGTTGTCACGTACGATCTTAATAAAAGGGAAATGTATATGATAACGCGAATTCAGTTATCCTTCAGTTGTGGGATCTCGTGGTAAAAGATTTTTTCGTAGGTGTTGGCTACAAATCCCTCTTTTCTAACTATCCCCAACGTAATTAAAAAAAAACCTTTAAAATACAACCATACTAAAAATATATAAAATAGATGGCATTTTGCAAAGAAAATAAGGTCCTCGTAATTTTAAGCGTTTGTGCATCACAGTGTGCCTTTGAAAGGTAGCACAATGCAAAAACATGGTACAATATAAGGCACAGTGCAATATGGAGCACAGTGCCATATATCGCAATAACAGTAGAATAACTTTGAGTAGATTGGTCTAGTCGATTCTGCCGGAAAACGATTGGCTGCGTCAAGATCTGAAAGTCTCTCGTATGATGTTTATTGCATTGATTCTGAGATATTATGATAACAAGAATTTTTTTTTTTGTATTTTTCGTTCCCAGCATCATCGCAGTCCTTTGTAGTGGAGTACTTCGTGTGGGCTATACGCGCGGACACTTACACGTACGTGTGGACGAACATAAACAACGGCCATCTTCTTTATATAAACACTACAAAGACAAACATGACAAGGTCCATGAAGACCTACTGAGGAGCTTCGATGTTCTATAAAATGGGAAAATAAATTCGATTGCTTCTTGTACGAGATGTTATTCATCAGAGAACTAAAACTAATTCTGAACGTACAATCCGCCTCGAACCGTGTTAAAATATTTCTGCAATGTAATCTCACATTCTTCATCGTGTAACTTCATTGTGGTTAATAATACTCACAGAATTCATTATCCTAACATTTACCTTGGCAATGGCGTCATGAAAACTCCGAAACGTCGGTTAATATTGCTAATTTCTACGTGTTTAAACAAAATTTAATCTATTATTGAGGAAAATTCATTCGTCTAACGTGCTATGGATTGGTTTATTTTTTTTATGTTTCCGGGATGGTTTGATCAGCAGAAGGTTTAGATAGCTTTTCCGATGGCAAATTAAGAAAGACATTGTTTCGAAAAACATTGTTTCGAAAAACATATGTTCACATCTGGGAAGAACAATACACTTATCAACTTCTTATCTTATAATTTAGTGAAATGTTAACTCCATTGGAAGTTATTTGTAGACTATTGATAAGAAGATACGTTTTAAATTATATGCAAATTATTGTCAAGGTCAGAAAAATAAGTACTACTTAGTTGAAGTGGTAATTGCATTTGAAAGTTTTTAATGCGTGTTAATCTGTAAAAATTTGCGTTGTATTGAAGAAGAACGTTCTATATAGATATATTATTGTTTTTTCTTTTTATTCGCTACGCAACAGCTGCATTTAACAATTGCGTCAAACTGTCAAACCTATCACTATCATATCTGCAAAATACACCTAGGTACAAATAGCTAATGTTTCCGCGTTTGGTTCACCAACAAGTAAACGGAGAAAATAAGAGTATTGCTATGAGTTCGTTGCACTACCATTTGTTTCTATTCCTGTGCTTCTATGCTGCTGTTCAGGCTCAATACAGAGAAGGCGATATGATGTTGGGCGGACTTTTTAGCGTGCACCAGGTGCCAGACCGGCCAGGGTCGCGATATGAAGACATATATTTGAGAGGACTTGGTCGCATGCAGGCCATGATCTTCGCAATCGAACGAATAAACAATGACACAAGTCTTCTTTCGAACATTTCCCTAGGATATGACATAAGGGATTACGGTGGAAACCTCTCAAAAGCTGCGGGACTCATTTATCAACTACTGACCGTTGATTCTTGCGTCAATTTAAGCCAAAATGCTCCAAGAAAGAAAGCCATCATTTCTTTAATAGGCCCAAACGAATCTAGAACAGCGCTATTCATTGGTGGATTTCTTCGGATGCTCAATGTTTCGAGCATAACTGGAACAGCAACCAGTACGGAGCTTAGCTCTTTTACCTATAAACATTTATATCGAACAGTGCCTTCGGACAAGTTTCTTGCAAAAGCGATGGTTGACCTAATTACGCACTTCAATTGGGGCTATGTTGCTGTGGTTGGACAAGATGATTCGTATGGAAGAAGTGGAGCATGGGCAGTGGTTAGCGAAAGTTCGTCAAGGAAGAGCTCGTTCTGTATTGCTTTTTACGGAGTTTATACGCCTCGAAAGTCTGCATCTGAGTGTTCAGAACATAGTTCAAAAGCTTAAACAGATGGACAATGTCAAAGTTGTGATCTTATGGTTATACGAGAATTACCAAACGAAGTTTTTGGCAGAGGTTCAGAGGCAAAACTTAACTGGACGTGTGTGGATTTTGAGTGAGATTCATTTAACTTCTAAACTGCCAGTAAAAGGTATTCTCGAGAGCTCTTTAGGATTTCAATTCCATAAATTCAGCGACTCTGGCTTCAAGGAATATTTAAAAGAAATATTGGTCAAGGAGAAAGACGATAGAAGTTTTTCTGAATGGAACCACATTACAAGCGAAAAATGGAAGTTCTTGAAGAACATGAAGTGTGTTCATCGCCAAATTGAGCAGTGCTCTAACGAGTTGATTAAAGAAGTCTACAGCCCCTATGTTCCGTACATCATTGACACCGTATATGCAGTGGCACACGCACTAGATATTTTCAATCGAAATTTTAGCTATGACGAGACCAAAGATCGGGCGAAATTGCAGATAGCCAATAGTTTTGACGTGCAGAAGCTTCTTGGCCGCGTCAGTTTTGACGGACTAACTGGAAAAATCAAGTTCGATCAATTTGGCGACAGGAGCTCGGCGTATTACGACATTTTCAGCTTTAAAAATGTACCCAATGGAGATGTCGAGAGCGTAGAGATGGTGCTGATAGGAGAATGGAAAATTCACAGAAAAACGAAACTCGCTTGATTTTTTTCATGAAGCTCTGAATTGGACGACTAAATCTGGTCGCCCTCCGAAATCGGAATGTTCGGAACGGTGTCCTCCTGGAACAAGAAAATCTTCTACCTCACCTTGTTGTTGGCAGTGCCTTCCGTGCCTTGGTGAAACCATCAGCTCATCTGCTGGTTCTGAAAGCTGCAGAGAATGTCCCAACGGAACAATATCTAACCCAGCGAATACAGAGTGTGTCGCCTTACCCTCTGCCAACATAAGCTATACGAATATAACCGGAATTGTGATTCTAACGTTTGGCAGCCTCGGAGGAGTAGTTGTCACATTGTTTTGTCTGGCTGCCCTCTGCAAATTCTGGAATAGTCCCATCGTCAAGGCATCTAATAGGGAGCTTAGCCTTTCCCTTTTATTTACAATTTTTGCATTATTCTCTCTGGTATATATTGATGTCTTTAAAACCACAAATACAATTTGCATGATCATATACCCGTTACGTTATCTGACCTATAACATCTGTCTCTCCACATTATTGGTAAAGGTGTTGCTTATTTCCTGTGCTTTTCGGGTTCCCATTATGACCAGTTTGGAGCTCACTTCTCTTCCAAACAAAGCACAGGTTGGGATTGTTATAGCATTTCTAGCTCCACTGTTGTCGGTGCTGATGCCATGGTTGCTTTTGGATCCACCCTTCAACTTTCAACATATCTATCCGAAACGTTACACCTTTGACGAATGCAAGGCATACTCTAGCTCAGTTGGAAAATCTCTATTCCTGGCAACATGCTTTTATATCTTATTCCAAATGCTGGTGTCCTCGGTCTGTGCCTTTAAGATTAGGAAGATTCCTGAAAATTTCAGCGAGGCCAAACGAATCGCCTTTTCCATGTACATATTTTTGTTCTCGTTGCTTTGTTATCACCCGGTAGAATTGTCCTTGAATGGATGGTATGTAACGGTTGTGGACTGTGTAACAACTCTTTTGAGCGCGTACGGTTTCCTTTGTTGTCTATTTTTGCCCAAAATGTATATTCTGTTCTTCAGGCAGGAGATAAACGATGCGAATGGCATAAGACAAGAAGTCACTCAGTTCTCGTTTAGTTCAGGTTGTGTACGCGTAAACCCTGCTTTTGATAGTTCAAATTAGCGAGCTGAATTGTGCAATAAGCTTTCTTAAAATCGGTAATTTTGTTCAAGTGTGCCATAGACCTCTAAGTAAATGAAATTTGAATCCAATATTGAAGAAAATTGTGACTTTTAATTAGCACTGCATTACAAATATAGGCTTCAAGCCATAAAAACACTTTAAGTTGCCATGGATTGTTTCTTTTTATGTTTTAGGGTGGCTCAGGTATCGGGAATTTTAAATTTGCTTTCTTGATGGCAAGGAAGGAAACATTATTTAAGAAAACAAAGGGGCGCGGAATAGTTAAACTGACATTTTGCATCTTTAATCTTCCCTCATGATTGACCATCTCTCTGGCATCTGTGCTGGGATTGGACTTTAAGCCTATTCTTTGTTATCCCTATTCATGGACTCCTTTCCACATATTAGCCCTGCCCTCACACAAGGTAAAGAGTCTTTTAATACCCTCGTCCATCCATTTCCTTTCCTATTTCGGGACTGGAAGCAAAGAGAATTTGTGACCTGAGGCAAAAGCCTTGTCTTGTTTCTTAGCAGCAAAATTTATTTCCGCAACGTATGCTTCTTGCATGACTAATTAGGAAACACTGTCTCCGCAATGATGTTTCCAAGTTTAGCCAAGCCTCTGGGCAGATGCTTAGATAATTAAACTGCATGAGATGAGAGCGATCTTCGCTGCAATGAACACTGGCTACTTAAGCAGAAACGAAAATAAGGTCTGAAAAATAAAAGGAAAAAAAAGGAAGACTTTTTGTGCATGATTTGCGAGGGAGATGAAGGATGAGAATAGCATCAGACAAGAAATCACCCAGCTCTCGTTTAGTTCATTCAAGTTGTGTACGCGTAAACCCTGCTTTTGGTAGTTCTAATCAAGAAGCTGAATCTTACAATGAGCTTCCTTAAGATAATTTTGTTATTTTGAGTGTGTGAAAGACTTTTACATGCACGTAAATAAAAAGTGGAATCTATGGTGGAGGAAAATTCATTTTATTAACTGACACTATCTTGCAAATACATTTATTGCTTGACTTTTGATAAAAATCACCAGGAAATACTAGTATTGATCGTTCCTTGTTATGTTGGCAGGATGGCTTATTTGGTCGGAGGTTTTGCTTCCCCGATGGCTAAGAAAGGAAGCATTGCGGTTGAGGAAGACAAATTGTCAGTGTGCGCTGAATAATAGAGTGACTAATTTGCATTTTTCAAGCCGTTTGTCATTTTTTTGTGTGAATATTTAATTATTTTAGCGCAACTTGCCAAATATAGATCAGGCGACTAGTTATTTAAAAATCGAGAAGTTCTTTACGTAACTACATTTCAAAAGTGTCACCACCGATCGTACATCGAAGCTTACTAGCCGCATATGGAACACAAATTTTAAGTATAATACTGGCCCGTCGCTTCAACTGAAATTGACATGTGTAATAACCTTCTTTGTAATATTAGTTTATTTGTTCAGTTGACTACTTCTTCTATTACGAGTGCAAAATAAATTCCATGTACGCAAAAATCAGTTCAACTGAAAATAAAAATTTATTTCAAATTAAAGTAGCCCCTTCAATGACAGGAGCGAATCAGTGACCCTTTGCATTTTTGGCCGTTTTCGGCTAACGGGTTAATTGGTAAGAAGGTACGTTTGAATTAATATTCAAGTTATTGTCAAGTTCGGAAAGATAAGTTCTGCTTAGTTGGAGTATTTGCATTTGAAAATTTTTAAAGCGTGATTATCTGTAAAAAATTGCGTTGTAAAAGGCTAGTTTCGAATTTTTTGTGCGAGATAGTCTGGTAACTAATTATCAGCACCAAGCCGTGGCCGAGGGGAATATGCGCTTATTTTGAAAGCAAGATCGGAGTGACTGTAAGTCGAATGTGGAGTTTTGTGCCATCCCTGTGCGCAAAAATAACTCTAAACAAGGCCGGACCTCAACTTTTTCTAGTTTCCAGGCGAAGAGGGACTAAGAAAGGAGTGCCTTCGGTCGTCGCGCTGATAAGGAGTTCACGTCCGTAAAGAACTTGCATGTATGCTCCAAACACTACGAGACTAAACAAATCCTGAAGACACTTTCTGAAATTAAAAGGCCAGCACGTGGCACGGTTCCAACAATATTTAATCAGTATGCAGTCCGAAGAAGTCCAAATCAACGCGAAAAAAGGTCGAATGAGGGGAGAAAACAAGACGCTAGCGATGACAACATAAACGAACTTGCCGCCAAAATTTTCCGCGTTTCTACTGATATTTCTCTTAAAGACCACGACTACGTCCTTAAGGAAAACAAATTTCAAAGTGCCTGGGTCTTCTTCGCTGACTTTTCGAAAGACTTTGATCTAATTGACCATAACATCTTAATGACTGGGTTGCGAAAACTAGAGGTTGATCCCGCGCTCATCAGTTGGATTGCTGCGTAACAGACAGACAGCAGGCTGTAAGAATAGGGTCAGCATTATCAGATTGAAAATTCCTCAAGGGAAGTGTGCCTCAGGAAACTAAACTAGGAGTGATACTTTTCACACTAATGACAAACAATCCTTTAGCTGATTGGCACCTGAGAGTCAAGTTTGTGGATGACACGTCTGCCATAGAAATGCTACCAGGAACTCTATCAGTCTGCTCAATTCGACTGTATCTAACATTCACAATTTTTCTATGGATCAAAACATGAGACTAAACCCTATTAAATGTAAAGAGATGTTAATTAACTCTATGTTATATCCTAACTTTACTCTCATACCATTACTTGTAGGCAACAACGATACAGAACGTGTATCGACTTACAAAATTGCTGCTTTTCTCTAGAGGATGATTTACACACGGTGCATACTTTCAGCAGCAGTTGACATAAGGATATGAGTGAGTTCTTCATTAAATGTACGTGAAATCGTCTTTGACATGAAATGTGCCAAGCCAAGCCCTAGGCGCGTCTTCTATGTCCCACAAATTACCTTACAATGTAGGCCACTAACCAACTTGAAGGAGTTACTTTTTTTTCCCTCTTAATATTTGATTTTACCCTGGGTAGGAGGCCAGAGAAGGGCAACTACGAGAGTTCCAAGCAGAATGGATTTATAGAGGCCGAAGTGGCCCATGATCAGTAACTTTTTATGCTAATTTCAAATCAGAAACCAAATTTTACTCGACGAAAAACAGCCAATTATTATGACTTGTGAGCTTCTAGTTCGCTGGTTTAATTTATAAACTATAAATTAATAGTGACCATATGTTAGGACTGAATAAATTTAAAACGATCTCGAACTCGCATCGAGGTCTCAAAACTCTACATAGTGTTACGGAATGGTTATTTGTTATGTTTCTGGGATAGTTTGATCAGTGGAAAGTCTAGCTAGCTTCTTCGATGGCAAATAAGAAAATATGGTTTCGAAAAACATATGGTGACATCTGATGTTCCAATTAACTTCCTGTCTTATCCTTTCGTGAAATATTTATTATTTTAATGGAAGTTACTTTTAGATTGTTGGTAAGAAGGTAAGTTTGAATTAATATGCAAATTATTGTAAAATTTTACTCTACAAAAAACAGCCAATTATTAGGACTTGTGAGCTTTTAGTTCTCTGCATGGTGTAATTAATAAACTATAAATTAATGGTGACCATATTTTAGGAGTGTATGAATTTAAAACGATCTCGAACATCGAAATGCTAGCTAAATCGAGGTCTCAACACACCGCATAGTGTCACGGAATGGTTATTTGTTATGTTTCTGGGATGGTTTGATCAGCGGAAGATCTAGCTAGCTTGTCCGATGGCAAAAAAAAAAAATTATTTCGAAAAACATATGGTCACATCTGGGCACAACGATGTTCTAATTAACTTCCTGTCTTCTCATTTAGTGAAATATTTATTTATTTTATTGGAAGTTACTTTTACACTGTTGGTAAGAAGGTAAGTTTGAATCAATATGCAAATTATCGTCGAATTCAGAAAAGTAAGTACTTAGTTGGAGTGGTATTTGCATTTGAAAATTTTTAATGCGTGTTAATTTGTAAAAGCTGCGTTGTAATTAACATATATACAAATACATGATTGTTTTTTCTCTTTATTCGCCACGCAACAGCTCCATTTAACAACTGCGTCAAAGCATACAAAGGTATGGTTCTGTTTTTCTTTCACTCTTTTCAATAAATACGGTAACTTAATTAAAAAAAATCGAGAGAGAGAGAGAAAAAAATAAACCCTTGAGAAAATGAAAACTTAAGAGCGACGGTTTTAATTTGTTTCGTCATAAAGCTGGCATTATAATGTTTAAGATCGTTTTCAATTCATACTCTCCTAACATATGTTCACCATGAATTTATAGCTTATCAGTTACACCATGCCCCGAGCTAAAAGCTAAGAAGTCATAATGATTGGTTGTTTTTTGAAGAGTCAAATTTGGTTTCTGAATTTAAATTAACATAAAAAGTTACTAATCATTACCACATGTGCAAAATTTACCTACGTACAAATGACTAATGTCTATGCGTTGGGTTCACCAACAGTTAAACGGAGAAAAGACGAGTATTGCTATGAGTTCGTTGCACTACCAGTCGTTTCTTTTCTTGTGGTTCTTTGCTGCTGTTCAGGCTCCATACAGAGAAGGCGATATCATGTTGGGCGGACTTTTCAGCGTGCACCAGCCGCCAGACAAGCCAGGGAGCCAATGTGGAGAGACAAACTTGAGAGAACTTGGTCGCATGCAGGCCATGATCTTCGCAATCGAACGAATAAACAATGACACAAGTCTTCTTTCTAACATTTCCCTTGGATATGACGTAAGGGATTACTGTGGAAACCTTTCAAAAGCTGCAAGACTTGTTTACAAACTTTTGACTATTGATACTTGTGTTAATTTAAGCCAAAATGCCACAAGAAAGAAAGCCATTATTTCTTTAATAGGCCCAAGCGAATCGAGCACTGTGCTATTTATTGCAGGATTTCTTCGGATTCTCAATGTTTCGAGCATTAGCGGATCAGCTACTAGTGCTGAACTTAGCTCCCTTACCTATGATCATTTATTTCGAACAGTGCCTTCGGATACTTTACTTGCAAAAGCGATGGTTGACTTGGTTACACACTTCAATTGGAGTTATGTTGCTGTCGTTGGACTTGATGATTCGTATGGACGAAATGGAGTATGGGCAATAGTTAGCGAAAGTACTTCAAGAAAAAGCACTTTCTGTATTGCTTTGACGGAGTTTATACGGCTCGAAAGTCTGACTCTGAGTATTTCGAACGTTGTTCGAAAGCTTAAACAGATGGGTAATATCAGAGTTGTGATCTTATGGCTATACAAAAATTACCAAACGAAGTTTTTGGCAGAGGTTCAGAGGCAAAACCTAACTGGACGTGTTTGGATTTTAGGCGAGGTTCACTTAACTTCTACACTGCCAGTAGAAGGTATTCTCGACAGCTCTTTGGGATTTCTATGCCATGAATTCAGCGACTCTGGTTTCAAGAAATATTTAAAAGATATATTGGTCAGGGAGAGAGACAGTAAAAGTTTTCCTGAATGGAATTACAGTACAAGCGAAATATGGAAGCTTTTGAAGAGCAAGAAGTGTGTTCATCGCCAAATTGAGCAATGCACTAAAGACTTGATTGAAGAAATCTACAGCTCCTATGTTCCAAACATCATCGACGCAGTATATACCGTGGCACATGCACTACATATTTTCAATAAAAATTTTAGCTATAACGAGACCAAAGATCGGGCGAAATTGCAGGTAGCCAATAGTTTTGACGTGCAGAAGCTTCTTGGCAAAGTCAGTTTTCACGGACTAACTGGAAAAATCAACTTCGATCGATTTGGTGACAGGGGCTCGGCCTATTATGACATTTTCAGGTTTAAAAAAGTACCCAATGGAGATGTCGAGAGCATAGAAATGGTGCTGATAGGAGAATGGAAAAATTCAAAGAGAAACAAAACTCGCTTGATTTTTCATGAAGCCCTGAATTGGACGATTACATCTGGTCGCCCTCCCAAATCTGAATGCTCGGAACAATGTCCTCCCGGAACAAGGAAATCTTTTACCTCTCCTTGTTGTTGGCAGTGCCTTCCATGTCTTGGTGGAACCGCCAGCCCATCCGCTGGTTCTGAAAGCTGCAGTGAATGCCCCATCGGAACAATGTCTAACCAGGCTAAGACAGAGTGTGTCGCTTTACCCTCTGCGAACATAAGTTATAGTAGTGCGAGTGGAATTGTAATTCTTACCTTTGCTACGCTCGGTGTAGTTGCTACATTTCTTTGTCTGGCAGCCCTCTATAAATTCTGGAATAGTCCCATTGTAAAGGCTTCCAATCGAGAAGTAAGCCTTATTCTTTTACTCGCAATTCTGTCCTTATTGTCTTTGGCATTCATAAATGTCTTTATATCCACCAATGCAATTTGCAAGATCATATACCCGTTACGTTATCTGACCTATAACTTCTGTCTCTCCATCTTATTGGTTAAGGTGTTGCTTATTTCCAGTGCTTTTCAGGTTCCCATTTCGACCAGTTTGGAATTCACTTCTCTCTCAAACAAAGCACAAGTTGGGATTGTTATAGCATCTCTAGCTCCACTGTTGTTGGTGTTGATGCCATGGTTGCTTTTGGATCCACCCTTTAACAAGCAACATATCTATCCGAAACGTTACACCTTTAACGAATGCAAGGCATACTCCAGCTCAGTTGGAAAATCTCTATTCTTAGCAACATGTTTTTATATTTTCTTCCAAATGCTTTTGTCCACGTTCTGTGCCTTTAAGATTAGGAAGATTCCTGAAAATTTCAGCGAGGCCAAACGAATAGCCTTTTCCATGTACATATTTTTGTTCTCATTGCTTTGTTATCACCCGGTAGAATTGTCCATGGTTGGATGGTATGTAACGGTTGTGGATTGTGTAACAACTCTGCTGAGCGCCTATGGTTTCCTTTGTTGTCTATTTTTGCCCAAAATGTATATTCTGTTCTTTAGGCAGGAGATAAACGATGTGAATGGCATCAGACATGAAGTCACTCAGTTCTCGTTTAGATCAAGTACGCGTACGTACGTATACGGAAACCGTGCTTTTGATAGTACTAAGATTAGTAATTTTGATAGTACTTAAGATTAGTAAATTTGTTTGAGTGTGCCATAGACCTCTAAGGAAATGAAATGTGAATCCCTTATTGAAGAAAATTTATGCCTTTAATTAGCACTGCATCACAATTAAAGGCTTCAAGATATGAAAACAAGTAATATTGTGATGGATTGTTTCTTTTTACGTTTCCAGGATGGCTTAATTCTCTTCTACTGACTTCGCCATTAACCATTGCTAAGCCTTCGCCGTCCAAATAGGACACATTACAATTAACAACACTGGAAACTAGTCTACATTGCTTTCATTTTGGCTAAACCGGGTAAATTTTTTTACATCAGCATAATTTGTGGCTTGGAAGAAAAAGCATTTGTGACCTAAAGCAAAAGCCTCGTCTTCTTTCTTTATTTCCGCAACATTTGCTTCTTGCGTGGCTAATTAGGGAACATTTTGCCACCGCAATGATGTTTCCAAGTTTAGCCAGGCCTTTGGGCAAATGCTTCGATAATTAAACTGCATGAAGATGAGAATGATGTTAGCTGTTATGAACACTACTTAAGCAGTAACGCCAACAAAAAATTAAAAAAACAAAAATAAGGAAGAAGACTTACTGCGCATGAATTGGGAAGGAGATGAACGATGCGCCTAGCATCAGACAAGAAGTCACTCAGTTCTCGTTTAGTTCATTCAAATTGTATACGTAAAGTCGCGTAAACCCAGTTTTGATAGTTCTAATAAGGAAGCTAAGTCGTAAAATAAGCTTTCTTAAAATCATTGTGTTATTTTGAGTGTGTCAGAGACTTCTACATGTACGTAAATAAAAAATAGATCTATGATTGAGGAAAATTTATGTTATTAACTGACACTTTATTGAAACAATATTTATAACTTGACTTTTGCATAGGCAGTAACGATTAAAATCATTAGGAAATGCTGCTATGGATCGTTCCTTGTTATGTGTGCAGGATTGTTTATTTTGTAGGAGGGTTTCCTTCCCGATGGCTAAGCAAGGAAACCTTGCGGATGAGGAAGACAAATGGCCACGTGTGCACTGAATAATAGAGTGACCCTCTGTATTTTTCATTTGCATTTTTGATCTTCCTTTTTTTCCCTCTCCTGTTTTGGGACCTATCAGAGTCTCCTCGATTTCGATTTTGCCGCTGGCCATTGTTGACGGTCCCAGTTCTTAGGACACATTGAAGAGCTGCGATGGAAACTAGTCAACACTTATTTCGTAGTGGCAAAGCCGCTAAAAATAGTTTTAGAAAGCATCATGTGTGTCATGTGAGCAAGAAAGCATTGTCTTTTTTCTTAGCCGCTAAACCTGTCTCTGCAGTAAATGTTTCTGGTCTGGCTAACTAAAAAACATTTGCTTCTGTTTCCTTCTTTAATCAGGCTTTCGGGAAGATGCGTAGATAATTAAACTGTATGAGCCACAAGGGGGGGGATATTGTTCATCTTGCCCCGGTGGAAGGGGACTTTAAAGTAGTTTGGTTGCGTCACTATAAAATTTACCTGATCTCTCCACAAGGTTCTACATTATTCGACAGGTCCTTGCTCTTTCACCGTGAATTTCACGTTTCTTTAGTCCTCACTTAATATTCCGTTGGGGAATTCTGATGCGCGCTCCGTTCCTCAAAAATCCTATGCGTCATAGCATAGTGATTTACCAGGCATTTATACAACGGTGTTCTTGAGAAGTTGCATTTACAAATTGAGATGAATTTACAGCGAGCCTCAAGATACCTGATATAATTAAGAGAACATTCTAGAGTAGAGTTTTTATTGTCTAGGGAGGAATATCTGGCTCAGCAGTGTTAATTATAATTTGGTTGACAACTTTCGGAAAGTTGTCCACAAGACCCTACGACACATATTTCCCTACACGAGGGAAGGTCACTACATGGTCAAGGATACACACTTGCCCTTGAATCGGTTTTCTGGTTTTTAAAGGATAAAAGATACGGGTATGGAACATCTTTCGCTTACATCAGACCTACTGATTCTGTTTTCCATCCCATAGTTATGTACCAAATATTTCAGCTTCACGAAAATTAGGTATTTGTATTGCAACTTCAAAAGTAAAACCCCTCATGCTGTTAATGACTCTATTAAATCTAAGGTCAAATGAACACTACATAATCAATCAAGCCTAAATTTCTAAACATGAACTCTCTTAGTTGCCCCTCTTTAGGGAATGATTTTCACATAGTGCATACTTTCAGCAGCAGTTGACAAAAGGATGTGAATTGAGTTCTTTATTAAATGTATGTTAAATCCTCAATGACATGAAATATGCCAAGCCAAGCCGTCTATGTCCCACATATTACCTTTCAATGTAGGCGACTAATCAACTTGAAGGGGTTACTTTCTTTTTCCCTCTTAATATTTGATTTTACACTGGGTAAGTGGCGGCTTTTTCGGGATTCCGTTGCAAAAAGAAATGGTATCGAATCCTTGAAATCCCTGAAGTTACGATCTGATGATATAAGTTAGCAGATGCCGAGTCATCACGTATGATCTTAGTAAAAGGGAAATGGATTTGATGGATACTGACACTGACTCTCTGTTTGTTTGATTGATAACATATATTTTTCTTGATCTTTTATTTACATTTAGGAATATCAGCAGCTGGCAATAAAGAGGATTGCCGCTGTTGCTGCTCTTCGTTATCAATGAATACTGCTAATTCTTATTTATTGAAATGTATTATACCATGTAAATTATTTCGATGATCATTTTGTGTTACCAGCCTAAATAACGTAGGACACAACGAAGTAAAAAAAAGGAAAGGAAATATTCTCATGGAAACATGTCGTGTTTTTTAAAATTTCTGTTTCCAGGTGTGCTTCAGGTTTGTGGTTTAGTTCGATATTGCTTTTAAACATAAGATCAGTTGATTCCTGTAACCCTATATTCTGCTTGGTGGTTTTATGTGTCTTGTTTTTGAATGTTGGTTCGCTTTTTAGTCCATTCTTGTCTCGTTTTGTTTTGTGTTGTTTTGTTTATGGACGAAGTGGAATATGGGTAGTAGTTAACAAGACTACGTCAAGAAAAAGTTAATTCTGTATTGCTATGACGGACCTTATACTCCGTGGAAGTCTGAACCGCAGCATTTGGAAAGTAGTTATAAAACCAAAGCCGGAGATGCACAAAATCAAAGTTGTGATGTTGTGGTGCTACGCGCATTACCAAACGAAGGTTTTTTCGAAGAGGTACACAGGCAAAACCTAACTGTCTGAGAGTGTGTGTGTGCGTGTGCGTGCGTGCGTGCGGTTGTAAATTACTTAAGTATTGATCAGCGTATAATGGGAAACAGCTGTTAAAATCAAGTTTAAAGGAAATAGCTTGGGATTTTAGTAAATCACGAATAAGTAATGTCAATCCTGGTTTAACGTAGTCTAGGCGTGTATTTCCGTTATAATAGCAGATTAATAGAATCGCTATCCTGTAACAGAAGACTTGAGAGTTGAGATCGTTTGAATGTAGGAAGTTCGGATATTGGATGGATCGTAAAATAAACGCAAGAAATCGGAAAGATACAGTTCCACTGATTGTCGAGCCAGCGCTCCGCATAGATTTTCCTTAACGCAATAAAGAATTCTGCAACAAACACTAGATAAAGCTACGGAATGCTTTTTTGTTATGTTTCTGGGATGGTTTGACCAGCAGAAGGTCTTGCTAGCTTCACCGATGGCAAAATAAGAAAACATTGTTTTGAAAAAGATATGGTGACATCCGGGCATGGTGATGTTCTACTTATCTTCATTTCTTATAATTTAGTGAAATATTTATCTATTTTATTGGAAGTTATTTTAACACTGTTTGCAAGAAGGTAAGTTTGAATTAATATGTAAATTATTGTCAAGTTCAGAAAAATAAGTCCTACTTAGTTGGAGTGGTATTTGCATTTGAAAATTTTTAATGCGTGTTTATCTGTAATTGAAGAAGTAAGTTCTATATAGATATGTTATTGTTTTTTCTCTTTATTCGCCACGCAACAGCTCCATTTAACAGCTGCGTCAAACTGTCTGGCTAGTTTTCAATTATGAAAGCAACAAAGGCATGGTTCTGTATTTCTTTTGCTCTTTCCAATATATATGGTAACTTGTCAAAAAAAATTGAGAGAGAGAGAAAAAAAGCAAGAGAAAATGAAAACTTAAGAGCGACGGTTTTAATTTGTTTTGTCACCAAGCTAGCTTTACAATGTCCGAGAACGTTTTAAATTCATACACCCCTAACATGTGGTCACCATTAATTTATAGTTTATAAATTAAACCAGCGAGCTAGAAGCTCGCAAGTGATAACGATTGGCTGTTGTTTGTAGAGTAACACTTCAGGTTTCTAAATTGAAATTAACAAAAAAAAATTACTGATCACCATCTTATCTGCAAAATACACGTATGTACAAATAACTAATGTCTATGCGTTGGGTTCACCAACAAGTAAGCGGAGAAAGAAGAGTAATGCTATGAGTTCGTTGCACTACCAGTTGTTTCTTTTCTTGTGCTTCTATGCTGCTGTTCAGGCTCCATACAGAGAAGGCGATAGCGTGTACCAGCCGCCAGACAAGCCAGGGAGCCAATGTGGAGAGACAAATTGGAGAGACCTTGGTCAGATGCAGGCCATGATCTTCGCAATCGAACGAATAAACAACGACACAAGTCTTCTTTCTAACATTACCCTAGGATATGACGTAAGGGATTACTGTGAAAACTTTTCAGAAGCTGCAAGACTTGTTTACAAACTTTTGACTGTTGATGCTTGTGTAAATTTAAGCCGAAATGCCTCAAGAAAGAAAGTAATCATTTCTTCAATAGGCCCAAGCGAATCGAGCACTGCGCTATTCACTGCTGGATTTCTTCGGATGCTCAATGTTTCGAGCATAAGTGGAACAGCTACTAGTGCTGAGGAGCAAGAAGTGTGTTCGTTGCCAAATTGAGCAGTATTCTAAAGACTTGATTAAAGAAATCTACAGCCCCTTTGTTCCGAACATCATCGACGCTGTATATGCCGTAGCACACGCACTAGATATTTTTAATCGAAATTTTAGTTATGACGGGACCAAAGATCGGGCAAATCTGCAGATAGCCAGTAGTTTTAACGTGCAGAAGCTTCTTGGCAGAGTCAGTTTTGACGGTCTAACTGGAAAAATTACATTCGATCGATTTGGTGACAAGGGTTCGGCGGTTCAGCTACAAAAAAGTATTCAATGGAGATGTCGAGAGCATGAAAATGGTGCTGATAGGAGAATGGAAAAATTCAAAGAGGAACAAAACTCGCTTGATTTTTCATGAAGCCCTGAATTGGACGAGTACATCTGGTCGCCCCCCAAAATCTGAATGTTCGGAGCAGTGTCCTCCTGGAAAAAGGAAATCTTTTACCTCTCCTGGTTGTTGGCAGTGCCTTCCATGTCTTGGTGGAACCATCAGCCCATCCGCTGGTTCTGAAAGCTGTAGTGAATGCCCTATCGGAACAATGTCCAACCAGGCTAAAACAGACTGTGTCATTTAACCCTCCGCTGACATAAGTTATGTTAGTGCGAGTGAAATTATAATTTTTACCTTTGCTACGCTCGGTGTAGTTGTTACATTGATTTGCCTGGCAGCCCTCTATAAATTCTGGAATAGTCCCATTGTCAAGGCTTCCAATCGAACTCTTAGCGTTGTTCTTTCAATCGTAATTCTGTCATTATTGTCTTTGGCATTCATTAATGTCTTTATGTCCACGAATGCAATTTGCAAGATCATATACCCGTTACGTTATCTGACCTATAACTTCTGTCTATCCATCTTATTGGTTAAGGTGTTGCTTATTTCCAAAGCTTTTCGGGTTCCCATTTTGACCAGTTTGGAATTTACTTCTCTTCCAAACAAAGCACAGGTTGGGATTGTCATAGCATCTCTAGCTCCACTGTTGTCGGTGTTGTTTCCATGGTTGCTTTTGGATCCACCCTTTAACATGCGACATATCTATCCAAAGCGTCACATCTTGAACGAATGCAAGGCATACTCCAGCTCGGTTGGAAAATCTCTATTCTTGACAACATGTCTTTTATATTTTCTTCCAAATGCTTCTGTCGTCGTTCTGTGCCTTTAAGATTAGGAAGATTCCTGAAAATTTCAGCGAGGCCAAACGAATCGCTTTTTCCATGTACATATTTTTGTTCTCATTGCTTTGTTATCACCCGGTAGTTGTGCTTGGATGGATGGTATGTAACTGTTGTGGACTGTGTAACGAATCTGTTGAGCGTGTATGGCTTCCTTTGTTGTCTCTTTTTGCCCAAAATGTATATTCTGTTCTTTAGGCAGGAGATAAACGATGTGAATGGCATCAGACAAGAAGTCACTCAGTTCTCGTTTAGTTCAAGTTGTGTACACGTAAACCGTGCTTTTGATAAATCTAATTAGGAAGCCGAATCGTACAATAAGCTTTCTTAATATCAATAATCTTGTTCCAGAGTGCCATAGACTTCTTAGTAAATGAAATGTGAATCATTATTGAAGAAAATTTAAGCTTTTAAGTAGGACTGTATTACAAATATAGGCTTAAAGTTGCCATGGATTGTTCTTTTTTAAGTTTTCAGGATGGCTTAGTTATCGGGAATTTTAAATTTGCTTCCCTGATGGCAAAAGGAAACATTGTTTCAGAAAACAAATGGCTATGAAAGCGCGGAATAATAAACTGACATTTTGCATTTATCATTTCCATTTTTATTCTTCTCTCATGATTGAATAATTCATTTAGCATCTGTGCTTAGATTCGACTTTAAGGCTATTCCTTATTATACCTATTTATGGACTCCTTTCCACATATTAGCCCTGCCCTCACACTAGGCAAAGAGTCCTTTTATATCTTCGTTCATCCAATTCCTTTCAAATTTTGGGACTGGAGGCAGAAAGCATTTATGAGCTGAGGCAGAAGTCTTGTCTTGTTTCTAAGCAGCAAAACTTATTTCTACAACTTATTTTTCTTGCATGACTAATTAGGAAACACTTTGCCTTCGCAGTGATGTTTCCAAGTTTAGCTAAGCCTTTGGGCGGATGCTTAGATAATTAAACTACATGAGATGAGAGTGATCTTCGCTGCTATGACCACTAGCTACGTAAGCAGTAACGAAAATATAGTCTGAAAAAAAGGGAAAAAAAAAAGAAAAAAAAGGAAAAAAGGGAAGACTTTTGTGCATGATTTGGGAAGTAGAGTTTTCATTGTCTAGGAAGGAGTATCCGGCTCAGTAGAGTTAATTTGGCGAATAACTTTCGGAAAGTTGTCCACAAGACCCTACGGCATATATTTCTCTACACGAAGGAAGATCACGACGAAAAATGATAAGCCTCGTCCACCTTTTCACAACAGGCTGTTAGTCCGTGACTGGGTGTCAGCTCCGACGCAAAACGATGAGCCTCAGCCACCTTTCCACAACAGGCTGTTACTCCGTGAATTGGTATCAGCACCGAGGGAAAATAATAAGCCTGATTTCAAGGAATATCCTGCATTGAAATTTCCTTATTTGAAATGGAACCTTCAAATTAGTACCATCCTTCTATTAATGACCTAATGAAGGCCACAGTCTAACGCTGTATGTTAAGTTTAGTCTCAAAGCAAATCATCGACTCTCCTGCACCTCATTCACAGCAAAGCTTAAACATGTTCTAAAGCTGTTTTGTTAAACACGTTTAAAAATTTTATTCTTCATAGTAGCTGTTTAAACCGATGTTTGTCGACTTCAAATTTAGCACATTGAAAATAGAAGTTAGTGACAACTTGAAACGAGTATAAAACTCAGCTTTTCAGTTCTCTGTTTCTGATTTTCATTCAGTTAAACCCGGTGTATGTAAACATGTTTTGCTGGTGTAGATGGGGCGTTAGTTTCTCTCCTCTGAAACACGATTTGCAGAATCAAAAGTTACATTATTCTGACATCCCCCTACAATGCATGTAATACTGGAGTAAATATTTTTGATGCAGATGGGTAGGAGCGAAACAGATATTTAGACCAGCAAAGAGCATTTGCCCTTATATTTTAATTTGGAAAAACCACGTGGGCACAGTTAACCTAATTTAGCCACGGTTATTATATATATTTAGGGAAGAAACACGAAGTGCGGAGTGTCGGGCCAACTGATGGTCATAAGAAACCCAATAAATGAATATTTGAATGTACAAGATGAAAAATACAGTGGAGAATTTTTACAGGGGTTGCATAAAACATCTAGATGACTGTGGAGAAACTTGCCCTTCAAGCTAGTGTAGACACTAGGCACGTAGTGTGATTTCCTTTGATTTCACTTATGTTGATGGAAAATCACTGAACCCAGTCATCCCTAAGATTACTGCGAAATACCAGCATGTTCAGTCAATGTAGACAGACGGGCCAGCGTAAACACTGGATCGTGGTTGCCTGAGGGTTTGATATGCTTATTCCGCTTATTTGTTGCATTATCCAAGCTCGATACATTCTCTGGTGTTTTCTCCATTAAATATTCTAAAGAAAAATCACTGAACCCAGTCTAAGATTACTGCAAGATACCAGCACGTTTAGCCAACGTGGACAGACGGGTAGTTGCTTAGCTTTCTAAGATGCCTGTTCCACAAATTTGTTGCATAATCCAAGCCCACTATATTCTGTGGTGTTTTTTTTCTGTTAAATATCCTAAAAAATTACTGAAACATGTCAACCCTGAGAAACGATCAGTGCTTTTCTGTTATACAATAGGTAATTTTTAAAGATGTGATTCCGTCAACTGTGTCTAAACATGTGGGATTCATAATGTTCCTATCAAGTATACACGTCGAATGAGTTGTAAACAACTTAAGCATGGTCGTCTGTTTCTTTAATTAAAGAAACAAGCGATTTTTGAAAATAATTTCAAATTAAGAAGAAGAAAATCACTGAAGATAGCACGTATCTGTTCATTTCGGTTTGGCCGGTTCCCTGATAAACTTTGGTCATAAATCTTCTTTTATCCTTTCAGTGCGATTGTCACGGGCAAATATTAGATATGATAGATAATTTTTTAAAGAGGATCTGATTTCATCAACTGTGTATCTTCTAAACAAGTCGGTCTCACAATGTTCCTTTCGAGTAAATACGTCGGATGAGTTATAAACAACTTAAGCATTGTCGGTTCTCTAAAGAAACAAGCGATTTTTGAAAGTAACTCAAATTAAGAAGAAGAAAATCACCGAAGAAAATCACTGAACCCAGCCACCACCAAGATTACCGTGAAATACCAGCACGTTTAGCCAATGTGGACAAACGGGTAGTTACCTAGCTTTCTAAGATGCCTTTTCTGCAAATTTGCTGCATAATCCAAGCTCACTATATTCTGTGGTGTTTCCTCCGTTGAATATCCTAAAAAATTACTGAAACCAGTCAACCCTGAGAAACGATCAGTGCTGCTCCAGTTATAGATCCCAATTTAGCACATATCTGATCATTTCGGTTTCCCCAATAAACTTTGGCCGTCAGAAATCTTCTTTTATCCTTTCAGCGCGATTGACACGGGGAAATATTGTATGCAATAGATAATTTTAAAGAAGATTTGATTTCGTGAACAGTGTATCTTGTAAACATGCCGGCTTTATAATGTTCCTCTTGAGTAAACACGTCGGATGAGTCGTAAACAACTTAAGTATGGTCGTCTGGTTCTATGGAGAAACAAGCGATTTTTGAAAATAGTTTCATATTAAAAGGAGAAAATCACTAAGCCCAGTCAACCCTAAGATTACTGCAAGATACCAGCATGTTTAACCAACGTGAAGAGACGGGTAGTTGTCTAGCTTTCTAAGGTGCCTATTCCACAAATTTGCTGCATAATCCAAGCTCACTATCTTCTGTGGTGTTTCCTTCTTTAAATAAACAAGAAATTTTTAAAATAATATCATATTAAGAAAAAGAAAATCACTTAAGAAAATCACTAAAGAAAATCACTTAACCCAGTCACCCCTAAGATTACCGTAAAATACCAGCACGTTTAGCTAATGTGGACAGACGGGTAGATGCCTATTCCGCTAATTTGTTGCATAATCTAAGCTCGCTATATCCTGCGGTGTTTCCCTCCGTTAAATATCCTAAAAAAATCACTGAAACCAGTCAACCCTGAGAAACGATCAGTGCTGCTCTGGTTAAAGATTCCAATTTAGCACGTATCTGTTCAGTTCGGTTTGGCCGGCTCCCCAATAAACTTTGGCTATAGATCTTCTTTTATCCTTTTAATGTAATTGTCACGGGGCGATGTTGTATACAATAGATAATTTTAGAGAAGATTTGATTTCGTGAACAGCGTATCTTATAAAATTAGTCGTTAGTGTGGATTAAACTACAATCGAAACAAACACACCATAGTATTCATTGAGTCTTAAGCGACATTATCTTTAACGACATAATTAGGCACGTTTCATTCGATTGAAATTTCCGAAAGTTCCGGTTGAAGATGAGATATAACAAAGAGGTTCCGAAAACTATCTTCGGTTATTCTACCAATCTCTGAGAGATTTAAATTTTCCGTAAA